CTCTCTCTCTCTCTCTCTCTCTCTCTCTCTCTCTCTCTCTCTCTCTCTCTCTCTCTCTCTCTCTCTCTCTCTCTCTCTCTCTCTCTTTCGCTCTTTCATGCGGAGCCGCCGGCAGCCTTCTCGGCAGCTAGCTTGGCCTCCATCTTCCTCCTGGCCGCGAGGATCATGTCGTCTCTCCTCTTCTGCAGTAGCGCCTGCCGCTCGTCGCGGCTCGAGCTCCACGCCTTGCCGCCCTTGCCGCCGCTGCCGCTGCCGGCGGCGTCCTCGGCGGGTGAGGAGGACGTCGCGACCTTGTCGTGGAGGTTGTATCTCGTAATTAGGTCCGGCTGCGCGCCGGCCGCGGCGGAGGGAGCCGCAGGGGCTGAGGGCGGCGGCGTGGGGGAAGGGGGCGGCTGGAAGGAAACGGGCGGCTGGTTTGTGGAAGCGTTTGTTAGTTTATCAAAAGAAGAAGAAAAAGAAAAAGAAGAAGAAAAGAAAGGAGGGGAAAAGGCCGTAGTTGAGACCACTACACAAAAGGACGGCGAAGGAATAACAACAGAAGAAAAACTCACCGTCTCCAGCCTCCCGGCCAGGATGCGGTCCGTCGTGGCGGTCAGGTTGCCGCCGTTGCGCTGCAGGTCCCATAGCACGGTGCGCCGGTCGACCTGCGGGAACATCTGCTGTATCCTCTCGACGGCCGCCTCCCGCTCGCGCGAGACGGGGCCGTTGTTGCCGCCTCCTCTCCTGGCGCCGGCGCCCGTCGTGGCCGCCGACCCGGACTGGCTGCCGCCGCTGCCGCCCTCGCCGCCGCCGCCCGGCGACGAGAAGAAGTACCGCAGCACCAGGCCCGAGAAGACCAGGACCAGGATCAGGGACGGCACGTTTATCTGCTCGTTCGCCATGGTCGCGGAGGGGTTGGTTGGTTGGTTGGTTGGGTGGGTGAGTGGGTGGGTGGGCGATATCTGGCTTTGTCGGGCTGATGTTGTGTCTTTGCCACCCACACCCCTCTTGCCCGGGACGGACGGATAAGGTACCTAGGGTAGGTAGGGAGGGTAGGTTATGTGGGTCGGTATATCAAGCCGAGGCTCCCGGAGCTCATGCGCGGCTCGGTCGGGCAAGGAGACGAGGACGGCGCCGGCCGGGGGCGGACGGACGGACGGCTTTGGCTTCTCGTAGAGTCCTGCTGAGGGGTTGGGCGTGTGTGCGTGCGAGCGCGCGCGCACACGTGTTGGTAGGGTCGGATCGTCTTTGGGGGCTCTTTGGACACGTATTCTTTTTGATTTGTCGACTGCGAAAAAAAAGGAGGAATCAAGAAGACAACAGAAACAAAATTCCAACAACAGCAACGCCAACAAGGAAAAAAAAACAAGATGAATTATCAAAACCGCAGGCTTCTCAGTTCGCCATGCTAGCTATCTCCGGCTGGGGCTAGGTAGGTTGATTGGGTGGCACGGTGGTGGGGATGCGAAGAGGTGGCGTGGCGCGCGGAGAGCGGAGCGGTCAAAAATGTCGTTGGATTTGCTCAGGTTGGTGCATGGAGATTGATTTCCATGTGCATGCATGCCCGCTTGCTGCATGTGCTCCAAACCATCGACCCCAGCCAGCTCACCTAACCCGGCCCACCGATAGGGCGTTGCCAAGTGGCTGATGAAGTGAGTCGCTCTTGTCACTACCATCGAACGAACAAACAAACCCCACTCAAGGATGAGGGAAAGCAATAGAATAACCGATAGCTTTCTTTTCTCCTGCGCTTCTGTAAAACCACATTCATACTCTTCCTGTATTCCGCGTTCAATTTGGTTCCTGAATCTGCTCGTCGTGCAACCTGAGTATCCGTTAGGAAGCGGGGCTTGTGTTCATGTTGCAAGTTCGATCCAGCCTGACAAAACCTCTGGCTTCGCTCCATAACGCCTTCACTCACTACGTGACGGTGCACAAAAATGCTTAGCTATGTTGGGCAGCGCAGAAATCGGTGGTAAAAGTAATACCATGGTCGGAGTATATTTGGTCCCTGGCCCAGTTCTGGGCCAGTCAAACGGACCTCGAAAGCCATGCTCAAAGCACCATTTGGCATCGAAAGCTAGTTAGGGCTTACCATGCCGCTACCTGCGCCAACCAAGTTTTGCCTCTCGCCAAATCTCAAGCGCTGTTCGAGAATAGCCCCGTGAGAGATGGCCGTGGCACCTAGAGATAGATACCTCAGGCATCCGAGTGGTTCCCTCGTTGCCTAGAGAAGCACAAGCACGGCCTGTTCATGGAGAAATACTGGCAATGAATATTCAGGCACCTAGGCTGACAGCCATGGTGTTCGTGTCCAGGTCGTTGTAGTCGAGCGACAGCTCGCGCTGATGCAGCCACACCCGAAAGTCAGCAGTATCCTGAAAAGCCTCGACGAAATGCGGTGGCCACTAATCAGCCGGGACAGACAAGAACTCACCCTATCCTTGGCCCACCGGGTGGTGTCCCACACAAGATAATACCCGCGCTCGTGGGTGGGGCTAATCACTTGCGGCATCATGTGCTCGTCCTTTGTGAGCCATATCTGAAGCTTCTTGTGCCACCTCCAGTTGCGGTTGTTCCTATAACGATAACACTGTCAGTTGACCAAGGAATCTACAGTGGCCAGGGCCGAGTAGGCTATGTAACTGACAGCTCCATGGCGGCTAGTTGTTGCTGCTGGTCGCCTGGAGACGAGTAGAAGATCCACATCAAAGTCTCCTCGTTGAAACCCTGGATCTTATTCTCGATGGTCTGCACATTGGTGACCTTGTAGCAGTCGGGTAGCCGGAACTTCGGTATCGACGGCCTTGGGGGCGTGTCATCAAATGCCGAGTAGACCTGTTCGGATATCGGCCTGGCCGAGTTGATGGTTCAGAGTTAGCAGGGCTCAGGCCTCGTCCAGTGGTATCGTATAAGCTCGGGCCAATGTGCAACGTACTCGGAGTTCCTAAGAGCCGTATCGAGGCCCATGCTGGTGTAGTCAATCCCAGACACCAAGGCGTTGTAGTCGGGGTAGGTGTTCATGAGATAGCGAAGGCCCTTGATGCCCCACTTGTCTGCTTCAGGCATCCCACCAAGCGGATCTTGCACCGGCGGCGTCTGTTCTACCTCCTCCTCCTCCTTGGCCTTGCCAGCAGGAGCGCTGCCGCCGATGGCCCCAAGGGGGTGACGGTTGTCCGATTGGTATGCTAGGCCATCCATGGTTGAGCTCTGCGACGTCACTCCGCCATCTCGTGGGGTAGATGTCTTTTGGCGCGAGTCCTCATCGGCAGCCAAGTTCCGAGACTCGACTGGCCGGGTTCCTAGCGGGGCGAGCTGTCAGCACGGTTGCAAATCATGCCTATGAGAAGACCTCTTCTATATGCGAGGCCTATCTGCGAGGCCGGGTGAGGCCACTCACCAACAGGGGAGCGGGCTTCCGCCGCTCTGGTGTTGGCAGAGAGTGCGCTTAGAAGCCCGTTTCCAGCCCTGCTTGACGGTTGGGCCGAGGATGGTGTGCTGCTACCGCCTCCTTGGGCGGCAAATCCTAGACTAGACATGAGGCTGGGGCCGCCACGCTCGCGGCCGATCTCGCCGTTTGGATTCCGATTCAATGGCAGGAACTCCTCGACGGCTCCGGGTTGGGATTGTGCTGCTTGGCCCATGTTCCCTTGGCCCCCGAACCGAAAAGAGGCTTGATCGGCAGGCAAACGTGAGCTCGGAGTAAAAAGGTCGTCCTGCTGGCTGGCTTGTTGTGCCAACAAAGGCGTTGGTTGATTGCGCTGGACGCCAGCGGGGCCGCCCAGGTTTCTCGACCCGCCTGTTGACCACATGGTCGACTGGGATGGGTTGGGCAGTTGGGAGTTGCCTGACAAGGACGGAAACTCGCTGGAAAGTTCGATGGGTTAGTGTTGTCCCAGGAAGAATGGTTGGGGAAAGAGCAAAGCACTGTGGCATGAGCCTGGTAAGTGAGCGGAATGTGAGAGGGAGCCGAGGGGTGGTATTATCGGATATAGAGGAGCATTCTAGTACCCGTCCACATCACCCGACGAGGCCGCAGCCGACTTTGGCTTGCGAGTGGGCGAAAGATGCATAGCAGACCACAGTTCAATAATCCCAAGGTTTGAGGGCTTCGAGGGCTTGCTGACAGCAGAGGCCACACCCGAATTTGATGCCTTGACCAGAGATCCCGTCTTGGGGATTTTCCAGGCTGGATCCGCTGGGTAGTAAGAGAGAAGGTGCGCGCTGGAAATACGAGGGGCTGTGGCTATTGCTGTGTGGAGAGGGGGGAAGGCGAGGGATAATCCAAGGCATTGCGCAGGCAGGGCAAACATACGAGAGGTCGAGTGGCGTGGCAGGTTGCGACCCGCTCAAGCTCTGCGCAAAACTGACGTTACCGCCTAGCTGCCGTGACGGGTTTGGCAGCCCACCGCTGCTCATAGGGATACCAGCACCAAATGCCCAGCCAGAGCCATTCCCGCCTGGAAACATGTCACCAAAACCACCACATCAGCATTTTCCATCCCATTTTTTGGACACCCGAGCAGAGTCGGGTAGGGCTGCAGCGATCCAATCTCTCACCCAGCTTGCCGTTTGGTAACCGGTTCGAAACCGCTCGGCCAGGTTGTTGCGGTTGTTGCGGTTGGCCTCCAAAGCCTCCTGGCATCCCGCGGAGGGATTGGGGTACTGCTCCTGAACGCACCAAGTTGCTGTTAGTGGTTATTCCATCCAAATCGGTGCAGTTGCGTGTTCGTATTAATAGCGGTCGTTTTGAACGGTGGGCAACGAGACACGAGCGCCAGAGGTTCCATTTGTGCGTATCCAGCAAGCAGTGGGGTCGCAGTCGCGGCCTCAGCCAAAAGCCCATCCTGCTCAGGGGTACAGCCTCCAGACCATAACAACCGAGGCATGGAAGCCGCGCAACAGTGGTCCTGCCTATTGTATGCTTGTGGCGCATTGCGTATGCCAGGGGAAGCAGCACATGCGCCAATTGCCACAGGCTGTTCGGCCGATGGGAGGGTCCGATCGGCTCTCGGGATCGCGCCACTACCCCTATCTGGTAGGGAGAAGGGATGACAATGGTCGAGGTGGATGCGAGGCAGGCGCAAACGGAGGTGCTTGATGGCCTTTGGACGGCGGGAGGCAAAGATCTTGATCGGCCGTCAGGCGCAAGGGGATGTATTGATACGGCGGCGATTGCGGGCGATAGCGCGGTGTGTTGGAGGGGCAGGTGGGCGAGCTGGAGGAGGGATGAGGATGGAGAAGCGGCCGGGCCTACCTGGTCTATTCATTGTTGGAGGAGGTTGCTGCGAGCGGGGGGCGTGATGGGGCCAATTTGGGAGTGTCGAAAGCATATGCGTCCTGGGGAGGCCGTCGGGCGGAGCCGGCGAGGTTATGCGAAGTCGGTGACCGTTTGGGATGTTGGGACGTGAGAGGTTATGGCTTTTAGGCCTGTTTGTCGCCGACGTTGGATCTCCAAGTAGCAAGGCTCGTTGCAATGTGACCTGGCCGCGCCAAGCAGCATGTACAGTGGTCCGTGCCCCGCATTGTATCTCATGATTGGGCATTCCGCCCATGGCCAGGCCCCAGCCTTCCACGGCCCACTCCAGCTCTTCAGCCTTCTATTTCAGGGATCCGCCTCGCTGCAGCTTCCATGTGCGTTTGTTCACGCACCCCAGCCTTTCCGTCCCGCCTCGATCAAGTTCCCAATATCGTGATTACGCATGCACATATGGTCTACCCAGGTCGGGCCGGGCTGTCTCTGCGGGGCGGCGGGCAAACGCCTTCGTTTGCGCTTTTTTCTTCTCTTTGTCTTCTGTTTGTCTTCTGTTTGTCTGCTGCATTCCATCACCTTTGGCTCGCTAGAAACGCCAAATGCCACATGGCTGTAGGCAGCCACGTGCACTCTTTCAGCTCAGGTTCCCGAGGAGGCTTCCTGCAAAATCAAAGCCTAAGAGGTGCCTCCCAATCAGAACCATTTTCCCACCGCTCGCCATACCTGCATCCGCCTCTTTCCCCTTTTCTTCTAGTGAATCGAATATTTCGAACAGTTCACGCACTCCTTGGACCATCTTGGCACCACCATCAGAAAAAACCAGCCGCCCCTTTACGCGATGAACCTCGAACCTAGCCTTGTCCTGGACCTTGCCAGTGCCGGGCAGCTCGTTTTCCCACAGGACTGATTGCAGCCACTTGTCGACCTTTGCTACCTGAGCGGGCTGGAGCACGCCCAGAGGTATCGATATGGTCGATATTGACTAAGGCCCAGACATGCCGTCAGTGACGGTCAGGCTCGTCTTCGCAATGAAGCATAACTGGACAGGACTTACCGAATCTAGGTGGGAGTGCCCCTTGGAGGCTGTCGAGTCCAGGCCCTCAACCCTGTCGTAGGCATGCAAGTCCAGCAAAAAGCCCTCCAGCCGGGGTACCACGCTCTGTTTGGTCGTGTGTATCTTGGCAAGCCCGTTGATGGATTGTATCCTTCCCCTGACTGCGTCCAACTCGGACTCCGAAACCAGATCTGCTTTGTTGATGACTATGACGTCCGCATGCGAGATCTGGACGTGTGCGGTGGTCATGAGTGGCCCGTGGGCATCACTGTCCTCGTGGCCCTCAACCTTGCCCGACGGGTCGTCGAGGCTGCGCAACACATTCTTGGCATCAACCAGGGTGACGATGCCATCCAAGTAGATGGTGCTACTGAGACCCTCGTCAACCCAGAAAAGCGGCGCCAGGTTTCCGGGGTCCGCCAGGCCCGTCGTCTCCAGAAGGATGTAGTCGAACTTGCCCTTTTTCTCCATCAGCGACTCGATAGCCGCAACGCCCGTATCCCTGGTGGGACAAGTTGTGTCAGAAATACGGCGAAAGGACGAGAGAGAATGGAAAACGCAGGCTTACTTGACCGAGCAGCATATACAACCATTGCCAACCTCCATCCACTCTTCAACCGACTCGCCGTCTTTATTGACTGTGAGAGATTTCTCGATGTCGAGGGCTGTGCAACCGTAGCCAACATTGTTAGTCAACAAGGGTGACGGCCAGGACAAGGGCAGTTTGGTATCACGTGGGTCTTACAATCTCCAAACTCTAGAGCGGTCGAAAGACTGTCAGCAGGTACCATCGTCACACCGTGGGGGCACAACATCTAGCGACATGCCGTTCATGATAACAGCGATCTTCTTTCCGTGCTCAGCCGTGAGAATGTAGTTGAGTAGAGTTGTCTTGCCGGCGCCCAGATAGCCTGCACGTGACCAGTTAGTTCCCCTCCTGAGTTCTCTCCTGGGTCGAAAAGTGCCTGACGAGGACAGGATATCGGGCCTGCTGCCGCTCCATATCGCCTTTTCATACCGGTAACTATGGTGATGGGAACCTTGACGGGCTTCTCGGCCTCTGAGAGGCTATCACCAGTGTCGACCAGGTCCGGCGGAAGCTCGTCATCGTCGAAATCCATTGTGTCCACGGAATGAGGGCAAAGTTGGACGGGTTGTTCGAATCGACACAGACAGGAAGCCGCGCCTGGTAGTATGCAACAGCTCACGAGGTGTTGGTAACCCGTTTGGTAACCCGTTCAATGGCAGCAGCAATCATCAATACTTTGGTAGCGCCAATCAACCGAGTCTATGGCGTTGAACCCCCTCACCCCACTATAAAGACGTCACTGCCTGCCGGCTCTGGGCGCGTTCAGGGGACTAGGCGGCCCGTGCCCGCCTGTCGCAACTGGGCGCGCGGCAGCAGAAACACAGGCCAATGGGATGCGGATTACATAAGAGGATGCAAGCATCCACCTGGGATCTGGAATTCTGGAGGCAGGGGCGTTGGACCCCCCCAGTGCTCGAGGTGGAAAACAAAATCCAAACAAAAAGCCAATCTATCACGTCGCAACCCATCGCATCGCATCGCATCGCATCCCCAGCTACAGCCCAGACGAGACCCGAGAGACGAGAGACGACGCTCTGTCGTGTGTCTGGATATCTCCCACTTGGCCCGTGTCGCGGCCGCCCAACCGAACTAGACGACGAGCTGTGCGTGCCCGTTCCAGTGTCAGTCAGTTGTCGCTAAGCTACCCGCCACTTTTTGCGCCAGCCCTGGCTCCTCGCCAGCCATGGCCTCCCTCCCGCCAAGCTCGCCACGGCTCCCGAGTCCCCCTCCTCCAGCCGAGATCCAGCTCGGCCCCAAGCCGCCATCGGCGGGAAGCACGGCCAACCGCCACGCCCAGCAGATGGAGCAGACGGCCCTCGATGCCAACTCAAAGCGCCGCATCCATCCCGGCACCAGGTCCGCCGACATGGCGGCCGGTCCGCCGCTGGTGCCGCTGAGCGAGGTGTGTTGTTTTTCTCGCTGCGTGCCCTGGACATGAGTATGAAGTAACGGCAGCTGACCTAGGTGATGTTCCTTGCTCCAGCTCGACTCTGCCTTCCAGCTCCAGGAGCACCTGGCGGCGCTTCACTACCACCACACAGCGACCAACACGAACCCCGTCACTCGCGAGACGGCCACCATCCTGGCCACGCCGCCGCCCGGGATCGACCGCTCGCTGTGGCTGTACGAGCTCTGCCGTTTCCTGATCGAGCAGTGCAACGGCCTCATCGTCGGCTTCCTGTTCGACACGCCGCCGTGCAGCGCCGCCACTTGCCCTGAGATGCGCGCATCCGAGTGGCAGTTCCTGTGCGCAGTCCACGACCAGCCCAAGTCGTGCTGCGCCATTGACTACTGCTGCCACACTCTCGACTGGGCCGCCAACGTGGTCACGAACCCCCAGATCTTCCCCTCACGCTTCGTCGCCCTCTCTGACGCCCACGACAAGGGCGCCGCCGTTAAGAACCTCGTCAATGTCTTCCGCCGCCTTCATCGCATCTTCGCCCACGCCTGGTTCCAGCACCGCGGCGTCTTCTGGACCGTCGAGGGCCAGGCGGGGCTTTACGTCCTCTTCAAGACTGTCTGTGACATGTACGACCTCCTGCCAAGCGAGAACTACAAGCTTCCACCCGAGGCCGAGGGTCTGGAAGCCCCCCGCGCCTTCACACCGTCCGGAGGGGACTCTCACCCGCAGCAGCCGCAGCAGCAGCCGCAGCAGCAGCCTCCGTCACATCTGGGAATGATGCAACCAACCTCCATCGCCCGCCCGCGCAGCCAGGGCGCCCAGTCGGACGGGGATGGCGATAATCTCAACGCCGCCGGTAGCAGGATAGGCACTAGAAGGCACATCCGCAACAGCCCGTCAACGGGGAGCGCCGTGACAACCGTCATGGAGAGTGACGAGGACGACGGTGCTGGTTCCGTGGCGAACCGTTTCAGGCAGATGCGCATTGTTGAGGCCGCAATTCCTGAGGATGATCCGGATGCTGCCGAAGTTCCTGTCATCGTCGAGCACATGGCCCCGGCCCCGCCAGCAGAGGGAGGCGCTGCTCAGGCCGCCGATGCCGCCGGAGCTGCAACGGTAGACAAGCCGGATGACCAAATCTCGGCCGCTGCAGAGGCTGATGCCTCGGACTCTGCCGATGACGTTACCGTGGTGTCGGCTAACCTAGATGATTCTTCTGTGACGACGGAACAAGCGCCCGGGGAGGAGACAGGAGTGCCTGATGACGACGTGGAAAAGCAGCAAGAGCCCAGCGCCGAGTCAAATGGACCTATTGCCCCGGATGCAGGCGCCACCAGCGTCACTGACTTTGCCCAGCAGACGGAGGTTGCCCCAGAGACGGGTGATGGAGCGGCCACCGAAGCCGCCGCGTCTGTTGACAAATCAGAGGGAGCTGAAGCGCAGGGCGCCGAAGACACGACGGATGCGAAGAAGTCGGAAGCAGCAGAGGAGGCCAAGGAGCCGGTCGGAGCGCCCGAAGCGAAATAATGGCAGTTTACAACGTGGTTAAGGACAAGCAAAGCTGGACGGCGGAACAACCCCTGTTCGTTCTTGGGCCTGTTTGTGATTGTGTTCTCTTCTTGTGCAGGGCAGGGCAGGGCCGGGACCGGCCAGGCAGTTCGGATAGATGTTTTCGGAAAATAGTATCATAATATAGTGTCTACTCTGTGCTGTGGTCGCTTTGTTCTCGCAGTCGGGAACTGGAATTTTGACTCGAGCAAGCTGCTCACGGCATGTCGAACGAGATGACAGCCTTGAGGAGACAGGGGCTTGTTCGGGTGAGGCAGAAAATAACAGGAAGTCGGGGTTGAGAAGATGATAAACCTAGTCGGTAGATTCTCCGATTGTGCTTATTGCGCAACAAACCAGCCATGTCAAGCATGCTAGCACCGGCACAAGTACGGACGGTACAAGTACGGACGAGCCATAGTGGACTTCCCCTCGTCGCCAGCCCTGCGCAAAGCGACCGGGCGCTCCTCCTCGCCCTCTCGTCGCATCCCCTCGGCCCGCGGGTCGCCGGTGCTTCTATCTCCCACCCGCCCGCGGACGAACACGCCCGCAGGGAGGAGGGGGTGGGCGGGGCAGGAACCGGTGGTGCCGTGGATGGGTGGATGGGCCTGGAAGACAGCTATCTATGTGCATGTCTCCCTGCACCTACCTAGGTGCCTACCTACCTACCTAGTCAAGGTCCATACTACACTGCACGCACGCACGCACGCACGCCAGCTTGGCGCACCTTATTTATTCCCTCCCTTTATGCAGCGAAAATCCGCATGCAACCAGAGACGGATAACACCACCCATCCCATGCCGGGCGGAGCCCACGGGGGATGGGATGGGATGGGGGGATTGAGATGGGACGAAAGGCTACCGGGGCGGGGAGGGGGGGGGTGTCCCATCCCAAGCACGGTTGGTGGGGAACGAGCGTCGTCCGGAAAGTGGGCTTTTTCGCATGGCCTCGGCAGCACGTCAGGGGTGTGGGGAAAGGAAAAAAGGACAAGGAGAAGTGATCAAAGCGGCTGCTTGCAGGGGCGCCAAGCCCACCAACCTTGGGCCCTTTTGGTTCAGATGGGCAAGTTCCTTGGGGGGAGGGGAAGGGAAGAAAGGAGGCTCTTCGCGCTTTTGGCCTAGGATTGCTGGAGTTTATGCGGGTAGGTAGGAAGGTAGGTAGGAAGGTAGATACCTGCCGAGGTGTCAAGAAGGACGAGAGCAAGAAGTGGGTGTGAGCGAGCGAGGTTGGAAGAGAATGACGGTTTCGTGTTATTGGGACACACGCGGATGCGCCGACGAGACTGACTGCCTGCCTGTGTACAACTGCAGCACCATCATCACCAATCAACATCATCTCCTCACTCCCAAAACGGTCGACCGACATGTCCCCCAAGGGGTCTCGGGTCGGCGGCTCTTCTCTCGCGCACTGCACACTAGTACACCGACTCCTCGCAAGCAGACCCTCTGCTGGTCCAGCAGCGCGGCCGAGCCAAGGTCCTCCGACGGGGGAGGGGGCGTGCGGGCGGGAAAGTCGGCGTAGCTTCTTCAAGGCGAGAAGCGGATATCCGGCTGATACCCTTCTTCGTCTCATGTTCTAGAGGCCCAGCACACAGGGCAAGGACCCCCCCTACCTGCAAAGCGTGCAACCCCACCCGGCCGCGCATCCGTTCAGGGCCACGCCATGCACTGCCGATTGCCCGTGGCCCGTGGCAGCCCGGAAGGGCGGGTTCATTGCCCCACACCACCATCACCACTGCCCATGCGGGCCACCCATCAGTGTCGCCGACCCCTGAGCAGTCACAAGGAAACCAACGAGACGTGAATAAGTCGAATCAATAAAGTGAATAATTTATAAATGGCCCCGAAAGAGGCGAAAACGAAGACAAAAAAAAAAAAGCCCTGACAGGGCGGCAAACACGTGGTTGGCAAGAAGAAGAAGTAGAAGTAGAAGTAGAAGTAGAAGAAGAAGAAGAAGAAGAAGAAGAAGAAGAAGAAGAAGTAAAAAGGCCGAAAATATACCAAAAAAAAAAGGCTTATTAAGGGAGATTGACAAAAAAAAACAAAAACAGGCTTATTAAAGGAGATTGACAACAAAAAACAGGAAAGCCAAAGGGGAAATGTATACGCACAAAAAAACGGGTGAGACTATATGTCGTCATCGTCCCTCAACCGCACATTCGAGGCCCGAAACCAAAGGCCACTTCGGCGCGACCTCCTTTGATCTCGCTCACCTTTGTCTGTGTTTAGCCAAGATATCTGGCGGCAAAGGTCCAGAAAGACAAGCCGGAGGGCCATCAACTGGTGCATGCCAAACCGAGTGTGATGCCGTGGCCAAGCGCCCCTTGATAATGCCAAAGACGCATCATTCACGCTGACAATGCAGCGTTCGAATCTCAGCGCCCCGGCCCCTTGCCCTTGCCCAGTCCGGCGTCAGGCCCCGTCGGCGGGCCGGGGCCTCTGGCAGCCCCCAAAGGCCCGCCGCCCCCTTCTATTCGCAGCTTGGTGAAGATTTTCTGGATGTTGGGGACGTTGTCGCGCTGGGTTGGGACGCTGGTCGCGTTGCGCTCGTCGGCAAAGGCGCGGATCGCCTGAAGCACGGGGCTGAACCCTTCGTCGTTGGGGAGCCACCATCGGACGCATGCCTCGTCGTTGAACAGCTCTGCCATGCGCGTCCGCGTGGTTAGGGGGAATATGTATCTGGAACGTCATCAAGAAGGTCGGAGTTAGTCGCAACTTCTTCCCAAAAACGTATGTAGGTCGCCCAAGAACGCCAAGGGCCACCAAAATAGCATCATCAATGCCATGTCCACCGCCAACCCACACCCCCACCCTTCTAGTTCTAGGTTTCCCAAAAGCGACGAGATTTCAGGCCTCGAAAAATTCGCCACTTCCATGCCGCATGCGACAAGAAGCCGGGCCTGCTGTTTTCGGACCAAGCAACCCCATGTTCAGGAGTGACAGACGCGCGCGCGGTAAAGGAACAAGACAAAAATGGGACGAGGCAGGGTGGGAAGGGAAACAGCTTACCCCATAGATTCGAGCAGCGCAAACTTGCGACGAATCCACTGCTGGTGTTTCTCGTCTCGCGGTACGAACGGCGCGGCAACCGACAGGCACGCCTGGATTATGACCAGGCTGCCCTTGGGACTTGATGGCCACATCTCGATCGCCTCGACCATGTTGCAGATGGCCTTTGCGTGCATGCCCAGGGCGGTCGATATGTCTCCGTCGCCGCCATCCCCGCCATCCCCGCCCGCTGGAGCATGCGCCCTCGTGATCGCCTGGCACTCGTGCACAATGACCACGGCGAGCCACTCGCAGCATAGTAGCGTCCCCGGGAAAAGAGGGCCTTCGTGGAGCACGCCCGCCCTTGAGAGGTCCACGACCGAATCCAACTCTGGTGGGGCTCGCAGGTCCATGACCATGTAAGCCGGGTCCGAGAGAACCGGATCCCAGTCCTCTTTCAGCGCCTCGAGGCTCCGGGCTAGTCTTGCATGCTCCTTGGCAAAGCTCTCGTCCGAGATATCCGAAGCTGAATGCTTGCCGAGAAGCACCGACATCTCTCTCGTGATGAACCGTAGGCGAGCCGCGAAATCGTCAATCTTGTATGCCATGTTTGTCGGATCCTTGATCGACTGCGAATGGAAGTGCTCCATCAGAGATATAAACCAGGGGTCCGGCATCGAAGTGGCGCACCCTCCCATGAGGCTGAGGAAGACGTCGAAGCGAACGTACCACGTCAGCGCTATCCGACTGGTTGCCGTTTCCACACTGGTCTCGGGCGTGTATAGGAACGTAATGACTTCGTATGCTGCCCTTTGGTGCCCCATCAAGTTGAGCCAGTCACCCAGGTACTCCTGTCGTTCGTAGGCCGAGGGTGGGTGAGTATAATGTCTCCAGGGGTTTAATGGATGAGGATGGAAGCACGAAGCTTCTGCACAAGCAACAGTTGTGAACCCACTTACCTCTATTGTGGCAAGCTGAAGGATGGTAAGAAGGGTCCCGATATTATGTCGTTCCTTTCTCTTGAGGAAGCCGAGTAGTAGAGTGACGCTCTTGTTATAATATTGGAGAAAGTCCTGGATCCTCCCTCTCGGGTTCTTCAGCGTGAAGTGGTAGGCCGAGAAGCCGACCAGAGCGTAGAGGAGCGCCTCGTTCTTGACAGCAATCGCGGGCAGCGTGGTCCGTAAGAAATCGTCCGAGTCGATGATCATCCCATAGTGATAATGTGTGATGTTTTCGGTGAAGTAGGCGAGATAGAAGCGCACGTCGTGTGGGAGGTGCGCCCATTCAGGCCGCTGAAACCCAGGGAGCTCCTGGAATTGATAGGCGGCGGGAGTGGTGCTGGCCGCCGTCCCGGTCGATGTCGACGGGGAGGAGGCTCGTGTGCCCTCAAGCGAGGGCGATTCTGAGCTCTGTCTGCCACCCGCGGCGGCTAGTCGTTGGAGGTTCAGGCTAGAGGCCGTCCTCGGTCTCCTCGGGATGGCCCGAGTCCGGAAGGGTTGGGTTTCTGGCGCCCCCAGCCCGGGCTCTTCTTCATCCGGTATCGTATCAAGCCTCGAGTCTGTGTCGCCATCGTCTTCGTCGTCGTCGTCGTCGTGCGATGAGGTCGGGCTGGTGGGTTGATCGGCGTCCGTATCCTTTGGTGTTGTCGCTCCCGCTTTTACCCCTTGCGCATCCGGGGGATAAATGCAATCACGTTTACCTTTTCTGCACCCTGTCCGCCCCTGGTGTTAGTCGCTTCTGGAGCATGTCGGCTGGAGATACATTGATAGTGGGGGTTGCCAATAGATCATACTTTCACAAATCGGGTGTGTTTCGTCGCACTTGAGCTTTGTGTTAGACTGCAGCGATAAAAACACAAAGACCAAACGGGAGGAAGAAAAAGGTTTATCCAAATACCTTTACCCGCCTGCTTCTGCATGTGTAGCAGCCCGATCTCGTCCGGCGGTGCTTGACATGGTCGAGGCCCGGTGTGGATTTCCGCCGGCTCCTTGATGCCTTTGCCTGGCTGTTGAACATGATGGGGTCTGGAAAGCCGGTGAAGTAGCCCAAGCTCTGGTATGAGCCTGGCATCCCTGTGAGCCCTCCCAACCCAAGCGGGGGGGCTTGGTGCATCTGCGGCGGGTTGGGATCGTGCGGACTGCTGACAGGGAGCTGCCCGACACCCGACATGGTGGAGAGGAACTGGTGGTAGTAGTCGCTCATCTTCGGAAATGCCGTGCCGATCTCTCAATATCGACTGCTTTGCTGTTCCTTGTCACGGGCAAAACCCAGGCGCTCGCAGCTCGCAGGGATCTAGCTGCGGCCGGCGCTCCGCGAGTGGCGCCCGCCGTCAGGGAAAAGGAATATGTCGTGTCGTAGTCCCATAGGTTGTTCGTATGCGGTCTGGCGTCGTCGTGTGGGATGTAGTACGGCGTGTGTGCTTTGGTCAGCTCTGGTTCAGGATGCCGGATCGTCTTTAGCTTCGTGTCGTTCGGCGTTGAGAGCGCAAAGCACGCCTCCGCCCCCCCGAATGGAGAGGACAAGGTGGAAGAAGGGTTCTGCGGTAGGAGGCCTCGAAGAGTTCGAGGTGGACGGATTGCTAGTTATGAGAGCCTGGTGGATGATGGTAGGCAAAGTCTAGTGGGTTGGCCGACTGCGATCAGACACTTAGGAGGAGGCTGAAATCTGTCGTCACCAGGTCCAGCTTGTCGACGCGCAGCCACGTGTGCCCCGCGATAGTATTATACAAAGCGGCTTGGTGATGCCCATGGCAGGTGCAGGGGGCCTGGTCACCGGATGTCCAGGGAGGTGTCTAATATTACGCCAGAGGGGTGCCCGAAAGACGGAGAGAGGTACCGTGGGTGGCAATGCGTGGGTATTGACGTACCCCTGTTAGTGCCATGGCATAGCAGAGATGGTGAAAGTGTGGGTATGCCTGGGTTGCTGTGATCCAGCGTCAGCGTCCCAAGGGGCCGGCTGCCAGGGTCAGGGGAGTGAACGCCCTTGCGGTGGAGAGGAGAAGGGGGTGGGGCGCTGCGCAGGGAAAAAAATATGGTCGAAGGAGTTGTCCCGCCCTAGTGCTATGAATGGAGACTGCCGTCCAGTTGGGCTTTGCCTGCGATGGGAAGATGGGCTTTGTGGCACCAAACACCCGCTAACTGTGCGAGATTTGTCGATGTTGGGTGGGTGACGTTGAGATGCGCAGAGCGCCCGTCAGTAATGTCTTATAAATGCTCGGTCGATGCCGCAAGCTGTGGAGAGACGGCGAAGCGCCCAATCCAATGACAGCACGGGTGTGGGCAGGCGCTGTGCTGGGGATTTGTGACGTCCCCGGTTAACACTCAGGACTCTGGGGATGAACTCGAGCCTGCACTTGGTCCACGAGATCTGGGTTTGCGGACAGAGCCGCCTGCGGGCTGGTCCACAGCTGTCTTTGATGCCACTCCCTCCTGGCACACCCTCTACAGGGCCTGAGTTGATTACTGGACGCCGGTCAGGCAGGCCCGCGGCTGGTGGTGGTGGTGGCGGTGTCGTGGTTGGCCCACGAAGTGTGGCGAGGGCCAGCTGCCAAGGCTTCAATGCCAACCGGAAAGCAGGCCTGTCTGGGGCCGCCTGAGGTCGAGCAGAGAAGAGACGCTGCCGGTGCCAACCAGGGCTGTTCTTGGAATATGCGGGTGATCGTTATGGGTGATTGCAGGGCCGGGGAGAGCCCGGCCCGGAGCTGAAGGCTGGTGGACGGGTTCAAAGGTGGAGGTGGTGGAGTGAACGGCCGTCCGTGCCAACGACCGGGGGGGGCAGTGACATTGGCGAGAAGACTTCTTGGCTTGTACCTACATACCGGTTGGCAGCTTCGAGCGAGCAAACCCCTGCGCGGGGGGGCAGCGATGGTGACAGGTCAGAGTCAGATCTAATAAGGCACGGTGCGTCGGTTCCTTGGGATGGCAACGGTCTGGGTAGCGGTAATAAGGGTGGTGAGGGGGCATTGACATCTGCATGAGCTGGTCAAGGTGGGTATTGTCTGTCGGTACCTAGATATGAAGGGATGTACCAGGGAGTTAGACAGGCAGGGAGGTGGGCAGGTGCGGGCAGGCAAGTCAAACAGACGCGCACCCGGGGGAGATGAATTGCAGCTTGATTTCCCATGGACTCAGCTGGCTGTCAACATACCTATGCCCCTGCTTGGTAATGCAGTACGGAGATGCTGCTTGGTGGGTGGGAACAGTACAATTCTTGCTTGCTGTCTGTCTTCCCACTTTTACGTGTATGTCACCCCTTCCTTAAATGACTGGTCTGGAGACTCCGTGTCAAGCCCGTGCGACGTAGCCGCCACTTTGCGTTCTTGAGTTAGGGCGAGACATATGTCAGGCCGTATTGACGGCGGCTCACGAACCAATGCGTCAACAACCACGATGATGGAGGGGGGTATATTTACCGGTTGGGCTGCCGAGAGGATGAAGATCTATGCATGCAATCACTGAGGGGAGGCCAGGGTAGTGGAGTAGGTGTGGATGTCGTGATATCACCAGCATGCAGAGGACCGAGACGGGAGACGTTGCGGCCCGCTGGCGAAGCACGGAGCCACCTGGTCCAAGATGAAGGGGGGACAGGCGATGTGGGAATCGCTACATTTTTCACATTGCGGTGTGCAGCCTGGGGGAGGAGGGGATACCGGCGTAATGTGATGGTGCAGACAGGGGTACTTGACACAAAGCAACACGGCCGTCAAGATGGAGTGTCATGATGTGTATAGCTATGGGATGTATGGGCAAATGGGGAAGACGTCAGGCATATGCAAAGCAGGGCGGCAGGCAGGGTACCAGTGCATACCCTAGAAGCAGGGAGTAGGGTAGGTGGCGGCACAAAGGTGGACGTGTTGGTGGGATTGCCTCCCTGCTTTTTTTTTTTTGGAAAGCCGAGGGGGGTTGCCTGACTACCCCCGGCGCTGACTGCGTGATCCGTGACCTTGACGGCCGAGGAGCCCCGAAACCGCACGACCCCGCGGTTTATGAGGCCGTACCAGGATTCTCGGCCCACGTAGATCTCTAGGTACCCAGGTCTGTCCTCGAAGAGGGCCCGTCCGTGCGACAGCCTCACTCCGGGAGAGGCTAGGCCTCGCCGGTCTGAACCACGACTCGCTGCTCCCCCGAGCTTCCCGGCCAGTCCAAGACCGAACAAGGTCAGGCGACAGACACGGCATGATGAAGGTGGGTGATACAACCTTCTTTCTCACTGGTGTCCGCCACCGCCGTAGCGGTCGTTGTTCGAACTAGAGCTAGCCTCGCGCGGCAGCGGACGGCGAGAATAGCTCCCATCAACCAAAGCGATGTGGGTTCATGAGGCCCGTTCATGATCTGGGCTGGCATTTCGCCAGGTATCCCACCTGGGCGCTCGAGCTGACGGGTTCATCTGTACCGAATCTAGAGCCGGGGGGGATAACAGTGGGGAGCAAGGGGTTGGTGTCGTCCAGTGTCCCCGCCGGGCTGTGGCGGACCTTTCTGGTGCCGACTCGGCCTGGAGCCATTGAGGTACATGTGCACATACGCTGTACGGCGTAGCGCCCAGGTACTGATGACCATGATGCTTGATTGCACACCCCCGGTGGAGGATCAAAGCAGGGATGTGACAGGAGGGTTGCAGGACGTGCAGGGCTCGGAGGAGAACCCGAGCAGGGGGGCGGGGATTCGAGCTGGGGGTTTGATCAACAGCAACGAGGATGTGCAATCTCTCACTGTCGAGCTAAAAGATCCAGAATTCAGCATGGGTAAGATGGGTCCATCCGAACGAAACGACAGGTGATCGGAGAACAGGGCACCCGACAGTTGTCCATCCCCGTCGGAAATTTGCCGTGACAGCAGAGCGCATTTGTGCCTCGTACTCGTACATGCTGGAGTCGGTCCCGTTTTGGCCAGTAGGCGCCAGGGTATCCCAGATGTAGGACACTCTAAATCCAGCCATCCAGACGGCGCTTGTCAGAGGCTGCAGTCGGCCTTTCTGAGACAGGCGGCCGAGGAGGTGTGGGGGGAATGGACAAGGTGCAACTGCGGCTTGGCAACTGACAACGGTGACGTTCAGCTCATCGATCAACACCCACACCTTTTCTTAATTAGTTATTAGCCTCAACGTCTAGCGCGCCAGGACGCTTGGGACCCTAGGCGGGTTCCTGGTGGCGCCCCGAACTCGATACCTCATTCAGCTAGTGACTTAATCGCTGCTGGGTGCCGTTGACGACCTGGGACAGGGCAAGTACGAGGGATAAGTAAGTCACGTCCGCTCGTGGATTCTGCGTCAGCCACGACAGACCTCCTGGTGAGGAGCAGGTCCCCTCGTGTTGCTGGGATAGTGTCAAGGTGGGGAGGTGGCAGACAGGAGAGAACCAGGAGATTCCCCGGATACTTTGCAATACCCGCTTGGTTCTCGTGAATGTTGAATTTAACCGGCCGGGAGAACAGGGTGGGGTTACCTTTTTCTTCTTCTTTCCTTGTCATACCTCTGATCCACTCCATTGATGGACCTATGCCTACTTTGTACGGCAGACCTCCCACTGAATCCGTATGGAGGGTCGGGTCGTTCGGGTTGCTTGCTGAACCACTGGAACCCATGACGTTTATCTTAGCAAGGTGATGGTAAGGCTCGGGTCTTGAAGAGAGGGGCGGCTGTGCAGGTGAGAAAAAAAAATGAGGTGGAGGTTATTTCCCGTAACGCCTAGGAAGGCAACCATGACGGTTGTTCAGATATATTCAGTTCACTATTAACTTCCGCAAATAAAGACTCGTGCCGCGCCGAAGCGCTCCAGGGTGGTGGGAGGAGGACTGCTCCTTACCAGGTCCAGCGACCTCGAGATGTCTTTGTGGCTGACCTAGTACTCAAAGGCACCAAGCTAGTAGCGGCTAGCCGCCGATGAGGCGATTCAGGTGGTGTCGGATGGAGGTGAGGTGGGACGCCATGAGCAGGCCATGTGAGTGGGGAATTCCTTGGCCCGGCAGATCTTGAGCTCGGCCTCCAGAAAATGGATGCAGTTCCTTGTAGGGAGGGAAATTTGCATGTATGGAGGGGAAAGCTCCAAGCTGGGGCGGGGTGGGCAAAGGATGCGACAGGGGACTGTAAACTCCCAGTGAGGAGAGTGTTCGAATGCTTAAGCGCTTGCGTGTTTGAGTGCGTGAGGTGTAGCCGTTGGTGGCGGCCTCAGTCGTCAAGTCGTGATCCCGGATCAGCGTGGATGGTACTGAATGGGACTATCGAAACAGTTAGCGATCGCCCTTACTATCGGTCAGTGGGGATGCCGTGTAAGAAGAGTCGTGCAGGTCGGGAAGGTTGACGCGCGTTAATGCCTAGAACGGCGAGACAGGAGACCTGGCGTGCCTGCAGCTTTCCGGTGGGTGGGCAAATTTCAGGGGGTACCTGCCGTGCACATGGCGCAAAAGATCAGACGGAGTCACGTGGGGCTGCTGGGGTGTGCAGTAAGCCCCAAAGCGTTGACCTTCCATTCAGCCCGCTGGATCTGCGAGTAAGCCTTTTTTTCGATGATGACGCAAAACCCAAAATGGCGCGACCAGAGACTAACGAATAAAAAAAAAAGCTCGTGCATTGCCGTTAAGATTCAAACACGATTTGACAGATTGCTTCCTTCCTCGAGCAGATTGACTGCCCGCATACAAGAAACCGCTGGGCTACCACGCCACCACTCCAGCAACACAGTGGACCAGCGCTGTTCTAGAACCCATCAGGGCCTCCTCGGCGGGTTGTTGGTTGTTGGTCTGGGCTGGCTGGGCCGTGCAGGGAACTGTGTTGCTGTCCCTCGTCCCATCTTTCAACAGAGCACAAGGTGGAGTCGCGGAGCCTGCGGCACGTGGGAAGCGGACCTGAGTTCGTCCCATTAATTTACCCGTCCGCTTGGCTGGGTGGTTGGGCGACATCTTTGGATGTCGCTGCAGGGTGCGGAAAAGTGGAATCCACCAGCCGTATGCTTCGAGCAGGTTCACGAGTCTTGCCAACCACGAAAACACGCGAAATCTGCCGTTGGAAAGCTAGGACACTCCGTTGGGGCGCCTAGCCTTTCTTCCAGGGCCTATTTTATTTTATTAACGCCCTGCCTTGGCAGGGTCAATGCCGCACACGGCCAAATACCAATCAGTATTGATGGCGGCAACACGGCCAAGTGGTTCCGCCGAGCGGATGATGGACATCTGGCGATGATGGCCACAGCGGTGAGCAGAAAGTAGCACTGGTATCAAAGAATGCTGGAACCAAGGAATCACTGCTGCCCTCGCAGGCAGCCAGCCATCCGGAGAGCTGTCCGATGCTACCATCTGCCACGGCCGCTTCTCTACCTGCCCCCTTGCAGGGCTCGTCGGGCCAATGGGGCTGCTCGTGCGGTTTCGATTGCCGATCCCCGCCGCCTGCACCACATATCACAACTCTTGCTCGGCGCGAGAATCCGGCCCAGCACGGCACACGTACACGCAGCGACACGCTTTGAGAGGAGGGCTACTGTTGCCGGGTGCCGAGTCCGTGCTGCGATTGGACCATACCATGTCGGTCCCGTCCCAGAAAATGCTGATCTGCACCTCCACACCCGCAGGAGGTAGGGTTGCAGGGCACAGGGCCAGAGTGAAGGATTCGCCGCTCCTGCTTTTCCTCGGCGTCACCCACTTTCCCAGCACCTCAGACGCACTACAGGCGGTAGACATGCACCCTCTACGCACATCTAGGCGCTGCAGAGACATCCGACACGACGGCAACTGCCACTGTCACCGTAGCATTCGACGCCAAAGATTTCAAAAGCGAACAAGACGACCCAAGCTTCCAAGATATCTATCGAGATGATGAGTATTAATCGTGTGCTGCCAAGGGGCTTCAGTTACCCCGGTTGGCATGATAATCCGTCTCAACACCTTTTACTTAACCAGGAATTATTGTTGTGAGAAGTGGACTGGTTTCGCTTCTCCACCTCTGCATCGCTACAACTGCTTCTTCTCCTTGCTCTGTGACGATCTTGCATTTTCCCGCATGGTAGTTGATTGCTTCGCGCGCGCACTCGAATGCACGTCAATATGTCTGCGACAGACTCTACTTCCGGAACTGGAATCGGGCCCGTGTTACCGCATCCACTGTGACGACGGCTGGTGATTTTTTTTTTTTTCATTTGCTTTTCTTTTGCCCATAAGGGTAGAAAGAGAAAGGGGTACTGCACTAAGGCTTCATTCAGTTCCGGAAGATTGTGTCCCGGGGCTACGGGGAGTAGTGAAGCATGATTTAGCGTCGGACACATCGTCTTTTCTATCTGGAAGCCATTTCCCGCAGCGTCGCCGGCTCGGGATACAGTCGGCGGTGAGCGGACATGTTGGCCGACGCGGTTCCGTTGGATGGTGAATAACAAATGGGTTTCCAGCAACGGCAAAACTTGTCGTAACTGCATCTTGCTTGATAGTCTTTGCCGGATGAGCTGGGGATGTGCTGCCAAAGTCGAGATATGAAATGGAAACTTGACTACTATGTAGATGTCACCCTTTTACGGGACAGAATACCTACTTGCATTTACCAAAGACCGTGCCGGTTCAGATCGGAAGAGCCAGGTTGGCCTCTGAGAATAGCTTATGTAAACCCGCTTTGTGTCGGGCTGTGCAAGCCACAGGAGCGCACGATCGGTTGGTCCAGGAAAGCCACAGCTGGAATGTGCAGCTTGGCGGGATTCAGCGGGGGTCGAGGCGAGCTCTTGTGCGACAAGCAGCCCCAAAAACCTTAATTGGCGGGGCGCGGTTGGACGCACGTTCGTGCGGTGGTGTCACCGCCTCTCCTGGTTGTGTGTGAGAAAAAAAATAGGGGGCCAAGGAGTCGAAGTGAAACCCGCCTCCCGTCGGCTCACCTGAGCGCTGTGTTTTTTTTTTTTTTTTGTCGACCAAGTGAAGCTGGAGCTCTGCTTTGACACGTAGCGCGAGCGCGTGCTGGGGGAGAAAGAGGACCCGCACATGGCCATTGGCCCAAATCACGAGAATTGAGAAAGGACGACGAAAAAGTAAGGAAAAGAAGAAAAGATAAGCAAAGACAGTTTTCAACTGTTTTTATGTGGTTGAATTGAGCGGATGCTTGGTATGACGTTGGCGTGCTGAAGAGAGGTAGACGAGATCAGAACAAAGGGAAGGGAAAAAAAAGAACACCAAGAAAAGTGACGTACCAGCCCAAACCACACGCGAGCCAGCCTCACGACCACAACCCTCATCAGTCGCCACGCAGCCGTTGCCAGCGATGGAGGCCAATAGCACCATCGGCCCCGGCATCATCTGGCACCAGGACCCAGCAACCGTCTCGATCCTGGTGCTCACCGTCATCGCCTTCCTGGTGCCCATGATCTACGTGTACCCACCCTTCCCGCCCCGCGAGAGCGACGCCCTCTTCGAGACGCACTACAAGGTCGGCCTGCACCCGTCGCCGGCCAAGCCGGGCCTGGCCGGCGCCCAACAACAGGACCCCCAACAGCAACAACAGCAGCAGCAGGCCCGGCCCGGCGTCCCCGGCCGCATCCAGAGCCTCTGGATTTACCCGCTCAAGTCGTGCCGCGGCATCGAGCTCGACAAGTCGCGCGTCGTGCCGGCGGGCCTCGAGTTCGACCGCCTCTACACGCTCGCGCAGCTGCGCAGCCCCTTCCCCGTAGCCCTCGACGCGCCCGAGGCCGACAGGGCCGCGCACAGCTGGCACTTTGTCACGCAGCGCCAGTTCCCGCGCCTGGCCACGGTCGAGGTCGAGCTGTGGCGGCCCGACCTGGTCAAGTGCCAGCGCCGCGGCTTCGCGTCCGGCGACGCCTTCCTCATCGTCCGCTTCCCCTGGCGCGAGGCCGGCTGGAGGGGCGCCCTGGCCTGGGTCGCCGCAAAGGCCCTGCGCGGCCGCGACGGCCGCCCGGAGAGGGAGGTCATGCTGCCCGTCGATTTCCCGTCCGCGGCCGAAATCGAGGCCAAGGGTTACAAGTACGAGCAAGTCAAGATCTGGAACGACACCGTCACCGCCCTCAACATGGAGTCAGAGCTGCCCGAGGAGCTGCAGCTGTATCTTGGCGTCAGCAACAAGCTCGGCCTCTTCAGGATAGACCCGAGCCACCTGCGTGAGGTCTACCGCGGCGCCCCGGACCGGGAGACCGCCGGATACCAGCCCGTCACGGGCTTCCAGGACGCTGTAGGTGGCTCTGGCGTGACCTCTTTTCTTTTTTTCTCATCGGCTCTCTTGATATTTCCCCCAAGATCCCGCAAGCTGACGTCACTGCATTGCCCAGTTCCCTCTGCACCTCCTCAGCCTGAGCAGCGTTCAGGACCTAGAGGACAAGCTGGAAAAGGACGAGAACCTGTCCCGGTTGGACGCGCGCCGGTTCCGCGCCAACATCATAAGTAAGCCTACCTACCTCAACGATCCCCAAAGCCCCCCTTCTCTACGTCCTTCTAATGCAAAGACACAGTCAACGGCACCCCGGCGTACGAGGAGGAGAAGTGGAAGGCCATCCGGTTCCTGCCCGAGCCCGACACGCCGCTGGACCCGGTCGACTTCCACGTGTCGTGCCGCACCGTCCGGTGCAAGCTGCCCAACGTGGACCAGGACCTGGGCGTCAGGCACGCCGTCGAGCCCGACAAGTCCCTCCGCCGCCACAGGAACGTCGACGAGGGCGCGCCCCTCAGCGGCTGCTTGGGGATGCAGATGACGCCCACCTTCAAGAAGGCCGGCGGCCGCGTCCTCGAGATGGAGAGCACCGTGGCCATCGGCATGTCGGTCAAGGTCTTGGAGACGGGGCCTCACAGATACGTCAAGCAGTAAGAATAGGGTGTCTCGCGGAATAGCGGCGCAGGATAGCTTCGAGCGGAACCAGAGGGGCTGAGAGGCTTGGAAATGTGTGGGCAGAAACAATCCCCGTCAAGGCCGGAGTGCCGTAAGCAAGGGACACACCAACAAATGGTATAGAACAGCCAAGGCAAATGGAGATTACTCATGTAGGCTGAATCTCGTCCCAAAATCTCGTCGTCTATAGATACCGTTTCCTCGTCACATCATTGCCCGTACGTGCCAGCCGACCAGCCCCAGCTTTCCAAACGCAACAGTAAAGCCATCCAGCATCATGACACCAACCAACGCCCTCGCCGACAAAGACCTATTATCAAGACACAACAAGACATAGCAACCACCTCGCCGCTCGAGGCCGTCGCGGCCTACATACAATCGCTACCTCAAATCGGCAGGGGTGAGCGCCTGCACCATACTGGTGCCCTCGCTGAACCTTGTCCTGAAGATGCGGTTCGCGTTTTGGAACATGCCGTCCTTGAGACTGACGACGATGAACTGCGACCCCTTGAATCGCGTCTTGATCAGACGCCCGATATTTTGCGTGTGCGAAAGATCCAGGGCCGCGTCGACCTCGTCAAGAATGTACATGGGCGCAGGCTTGAACTGCAAAAGCGCCATGATAAGCGACAGGGCGATAAGGGATCTGTTTGTGGCGGTCGAAGCAATCCATGTCAGCGCGCTCCTCGAGAGTTGAATTGAATCTACAGGCTTGACGGGCTGGTCCGCAGTGATTAGGAATCATATTGTCATACCTTTGACCACCGCTCAGCTCCGTGAGGCTCTGTTTCCAGACCTTGCCTAGCGACACCTTGACCTCGAGGCCGTCGCTGATCGTCTTGCCTTCCGGTGGGTCTAGCTTGGCAAAGCTGCCGGGCAGGAGCTCGGCAAAGATCTGGCCAAAGTCGGCGTTGACCTTTTCCCACGTCTCCTGTAGCTGCTTCTTCTTGTAGTCGTCGAGGCTGACGATGGTCTCTTCAATCTTGCGCTTATCTCGGATGACCGTCTTCATCATGTGCTTGAGTGACAACTCCTTCTTCTCAACGCTATCGATCATGTTCATGACCTTGGGGTTGATCTTCTTCTTCATTCCCTGGAACCGGTCCGTCAGGTTCTTGAGCGTGGCCCTGCACTCGCCGATGTTTTGGCCCTTGAAGTCGTAGGGCGTGCCGGAGCGTCCAAACTTGTCCTTCTCATCCGCGATCCACTCGCACTCGCTCTCCATCTTAGTCACTGCCTCGCCTGCCGCTTGCTGTTCCTTGTGGAACCGCTCGATCTGGTGCCCCAGCTGCTGCATTTCCAGGCCCTCCTCGGTGATTCGGGCGTTTTTGGACCGAGTTGCATCCTCGAGCGCATGCAACTCGTCATCGTAGATGCTCAGCTTTGCCCTCTCGTCCTCGAGTTGAGCCTGCGCTGCCTCGTACGTCTCCTTGAGGGCGGCCTGCTGCTTGGCCAGCTCGGCGATCTCGTCCCTCTGGGCGCTGATTGCCAGGTCAATCTCCTGAAGTTGCTCCCGAGCGGCCGCCAAATCGCCACCGACCTGCTCCGAGTCTAGCTGCACACTCTGAAGCTCCTTCTGGAGGGCCTTGACCGATGCCGAGTTTGCCCCCAAAGTCGCCCGAAGCTTGTCTAGCGAAGCCTGGAGCTCAACCAGTTTTGCGTCTTTGTTGTTGTCAAAGTCATTCATGTCCTTCTCAATTCTCTTAATGTCGGCGTTGGCGTCGACTTGCTTCTGCTTGGCCTCGGCGGCGTCCTGCTTTAGCTGCACGATCTGCGCTTTCATCTTTTCCACCTCCTGGATGATGGAAGAGGACGAATTACTGCCAATCTGCTCCTCTGCAAGCTTGATCTCATGCGCCTTCAGATCCAACTCTTGCTTCAGCTTTCGGGCCTGATCGAGCTTGGACTTCTCGCTGGAAATTCTGGCCTGCAGAGCTCTGAGAGATGTCTCGGCCTCGTTCAGGTTGCGAGTGATCTCGTTGAGCTTCTGAAGCGTGACAAGGACGCCGCTCGAGTTGGGTGAGCTGCCGCCCGAGAGGGTACCGGATGGGTCGTATGCATCGCCCTCGAGAGTGATGCTGCGCATGCGCACGTTGGGGTCGAACGTGACCTTCTTGGCTGTGTCGGCGTCGGCGCAGACGAGCGTGTTGCCGAAAACATACTCCATCGCCGCCGAAACCTCGTCGTCGTATCCGACCAGAGACAGCGCCAAGTCGACCTTGCCCGGCGCGATGGACTGCGCCGTCGCAATGGTAGACGCCGACGCCCGGAACGCGGCGATCTTGTTTAGGGGGATAATGGTAACGCGCTTGCGCAGCTTTCCGTTCTGGAGCAGCTGCGTACCAGTCTCGGCCGTATCGACCACGACATTGTAAAGGCGCCCGCCCGCGCAGATCTCCAGAGCAGTGCCGGCAGCCGTGTGCTGCTTGTCCAGGGTGAAGAGTTGCGCCACCAGGCCCTTGACCTTGGATCGATCAAAGTTAGGAACCGGGTTCGCGTAGTTGAAGTCGATATTAGCCACCTTGCGCTTCAGCACGTCGCTTTCCTGGCGGAGGTTGCGGATTGACTGCTGAAGCGCACCCTCCTGCTTGTACATGTCTTCCTCGGCGCCGGGGCTGAAGCCGAGCTTGCCGAGCTCCCTTTCGATCTTCTCAGCTTGCGCTTTCAGGCCATCAAGATCGCGGAGAAGCCCTGCATTCTGTGCCTTTGCCTTTTTCGCCCGAGGCTCCTCCTCCTTGATGCGCTTTTCCAGATGCGCCGTCTTGATCTTGGCTTGCTCCTGCACCGTCACGGCAGCGGTCGCCCGATTCCTTGCGTCCTGGAGCTGGCCCTGATAGCCATTCTCCTGCCCGTCCTTGGACGCGACGCCTGTCTGCAAGGTCTGCAGCAGTTCCTCTTTCGCCTCGGCATCCTGGTTCTGTTTTTCGAGCTCCTCCTTGGCCTGGTCGTATCGGCCCTTGGCTTTTTCGTACGCCTTCGTCTTTTCCTTGAGGGTAGACTCGAGCTCCGAAACGGTCTTCTCGCCCGCCGTCCTACGTTCTTGCTCCTCCGTCATACTGGTGTTTTTCAAGTCCACAACGGTGGCAAGACGGACAAGCTCATTGGAGTGCTTCTTGGCCGCCTCCTCAAGCGCCTGGGCCTTGGCCCCCTTGCGAAGCTCTTTGTCACGCTGTGCTCTTACTCTCTTGGCGTCCTCCTCGAGGTGTGCGATTTCACTCTTGAGCTTGACGGCCGAGTCCTCCAGGCCCTTCTGTCTCGCCTTCTTGGCCTCCAGGTCGGCAGCGGACTGCCGCAGCTTCTCCTGGTTCCTGATGTAGTCGTGGGCGATGACCACCCTGCTCAGGCGCTCCAAGTCGTTCTGGGTCTGTTGGAAGTCCAAAAACGCTCTCTTCTCGGTGCGTAGCTTCTCCAACTTGGGCTCGATCTCCTCGCTCAGGAGCTCCTTGATCTCCTGTAGCTTCATCTCTTTCTTGCCCATGGTCTTGAGCGCCTTGTCACGGCGGTCCTCAAACATTCTCGTCCCAGCAGCCTCCTCGATCATGGCGAGGATCTCGACAGCCTTCATATTGAGGACTTTGGTGATGCGTCCTTGCATGATGAGGAAGTTCGGGTTGTTGATGTTCAGCTGAACCGACTGGAACAGGTTCTGGACCGTTTGTTGTTGGGCGCGGTGGCCGTTGATTAGGTACTTGGAGGTTCCGCCTAGGACGACCTGGCGCGTGACGCTAATGGTCGCATATTCCTCGAACCCTATCGGGGAAGTCTTCTTGTCCCTGTTGTCGAACACGATGGTCACACTTGCTTTTGTGACACCTGCCTGGCCACGCTTGTATATAAGGTCCTGGTTGGCGGAGAGCGGCCGCGTTAGTTGCTGTGTGCGTCAAGGAGCGGTCGCAACTGTGCCAGAGCCAGGTACTAACCTGCTGGTTCTGCGCCCGAACCGTGGACATATTGGTAATGCCCAGAACAAAACATATCGCATCGAGAATATTGGACTTCCCGCTCCCGTTGAGGCCAGTGATGGAGTTGAAACTCTCGTCCCTGTGACCGTTAGTTCCGATTCAGGTGTCACTGAGGGCTGGCGTGGGTTTGGGCCTTGTTTACCATCCCGAGATCACCGTCCGGACAGCGTAGGATTTGAAGCCCTAGTCGGTGTGTCAGTCGCAATCCTTTAGAGAAGCACGATTCAGCCCCTTTGCGCCTCACATCTATGATTATTTCCGTGACCCTCATCCTGGCGGTTTGACGAGGCTAGCTGCGGCCCGTTCTTGTGTCTGCGTTGGATTGCGACAGCGGGGAAGAGGCTGATGCCCAGAACATTGATTTTCCAAAGTAAACAAAATCCCACGCGTTGGCGGGGAGGGGTCCGCGTCCCACGGCAGCGGGGGTTGGTTTTTGTGGGGCGGTGATGGCGGGAGGGATAAGTCAGGAACGGTATCGGTGGTCTTATCGTTATCGCGCGCAATCGACCTAAATTGGCCCCACTATTACATGGAAGTTCCACTGGCCCGCCGCTGTCGACCGCCCGCAACTTTTTTTTTTTTTGCCCACATCCTATCCCGCGTGTCGCGCAAACCTACCTCTCCTACTTTTCATCAACATACTCGAGTTTTTCGCCTGGCCTCTGATAGTCCAGCGAGAACCCGCCAGCTACCGATCAAATTGCCTCGGGAGTGTGGCCCTGAGTGCAACTTGCCCCCCTGTCCTACATCCCCTGTTGTAACTCGTTATATTCCCTCCCCCACCTCGCTCTCCTCATACTCTACACTCCCAAGGATGTTTATGACGTCCCTTGCCCGGCAAGTTCGTCTTGCTAGGCTCTCGGCCTCGCTCCCAGGGTCCGCAGTGTCAGTTGCTGCTGCTGGCGCAAAGCAAATTCAGCCAACCTTCGCTGCCTCGGCCCTCCTCCGGCCCACCAGACTCCCGTCCTCGCTCCTTTCGCGAGCATGGCGCGCCTACTCTAGCGCCGCTGAGGCTCGAAATGAGGAGCCCGGATCGTCTGCACCGGGTCAGATCACCCAGTTTGCCGACCTATCAAAAGTGGGAGTCCATGAGAACCTTGTCAAGGCCATTGTGCAAGACATGGGCTACCAAAACATGACCGAAGTCCAATCAGTAACTCTCGGTCCGGCTCTGGAAGGGAAGGATATGTAAGAACACACAAGGATTTACGCCCTTTTGAATGCGGCTTTTGCCCTTGGTGGTCGCTTTGAGAATGGCCTAGCTACTAACACTAGTTGAATGGCAGGGTTGCCCAGGCCAAAACCGGCACAGGCAAGACGCTCGCGTTCCTGACGCCGGTGCTGTCACGGATTCTCTCACAAGACCCTGACCTAGCTTCTCGTCAATATCGCACTCAGCGCGGATCCAATTCCCTCGGCAGCAGAATCGACATTCGTGCCATTGTCATCTCTCCCACCCGCGAACTCGCAGAACAGATCGCCAAGGAGGCCGAGAAGCTCTGTGCCAACACGGGACTCAAGGTTGCGCTCGCCGTCGGTGGCACGAGGAAGAGGCAGTCTCTCCAAGAGATGCACCGATTTGGCTGCAACATTCTCGTGGGCACTCCCGGGCGTCTGAACGATCTGCTTATGGATTCGTCATCAGGGGTGGTGGCACCCAAAATTTCGGCTCTTATTCTTGACGAGGCCGACAGGATGCTCGATGTTGGATTTGAGAAGGAGCTCCGGTCCATTGTCGAGACGCTTCCTGACCGGGAGAGGCAGCCCCGCCAAACTCTCCTTTTCTCCGCCACCATTCCAGACAACGTCGTCAACCTGGCGAGGTGGTATGTCGACCGGAAGAACTTCAAGTTCGTGCAGACCGTCAAGGAAGATGAGGCACCCACCCACGAGAAGGTCCCTCAGTTCATTGTTCCTGTCAAACGCTACGAGAACATGCTCCCCGCCGTAATCGATCTCGTCACCAAGCAGGTCGAGGCCTGCCAGCAAGACCCTTTGAAGGACCCCTTCAAGGCCATCATCTTCTTCCCCTTCACCACCCTCACACACATGTCGGCTAGGATCATGTCCCAGATCGGCAGGGATCTGCCCCAGATACCAGAGGTCTATTACATCCATTCCAAGCTGGACCAGAATCAGCGCACGAGGGCAGCCGAAAACTTCCGAAGGGCCAAGTCAGCCATCCTTGTGTCCTCGGATGTGACTGCCCGAGGCATGGACTTCCCCAACGTCACTCACGTCATCCAGTACGGCTTGCCACCCCAGAGGGAACAGTACATTCACCGCCTGGGCCGGACGGGCAGAGCAGACAAGGCGGGAGAGGGTTGGATTCTTGTTCCCGAGTTTGCCATGAACGACGCCCGGCGGATGCTGGGCGGTTTCCCTATCCAGCGTCGTGCGGATATCGAGTCTGCCCTACTTGACAAAGCCCCTGAAACTCTGGAAGACGCGAGTCCTAGCTACCGGGCCGTCGCCAAACAGCTTAGGCGCATACCAGAAAACATGCTGGAGGAGACCTACATGATCCATTTCGGCCAAGCCGAAAAGCACCTGCTGCCCGTTCTGGTCCAGCAGCTCAACGAGTGGACCAAGAATGCTTGGGGCTGGGAGGAACCGCCTGTGCTGTCGCCCAGCTTGGCTGACAGGAAAGGTCTTGCACGCATCCCAGGTGTAAACATCGGCACTAAGCGCAGATCTCCGTCGCGCAACACCGAGGACGAGCTGGACTTTGCAGACTACCACCACTTCGGCAGTAATTACGGTGGCGATTCCGGCGGCTCCGGCGGCTCTGGCGGCTTTGGCAGTGGCAGCGGTGGAGGCTTTGACCGCCGGGGCGGCGGCGGCGGCTTCGACCGCAGGGGAGGCGGCGGTGGCGGCGGCTTTGACCGCAGGGCAGGCGGCGGCGGTGGCTTTGACCGCCGTGGAGGTGGCGGCGGCGGCTTTGACCGCCGTGGAGGTGGCGGCGGCGGCTTCGACCGCCGTGGAGGCGGCGGCGGTGGCTTCGACCGTAGAGGAGGAGGCGGCGGCTTCGACCGCCGGGGAGGCGGAGGTGGTGGATTTGACCGTCGGGGAGGTGGAGGCGGGTTTGACCGCAGGGGAGGCGGCGATTCGTTGGGCTCCTTCTGAGTGCTGAACCGTGATGCAGTGGTGAAAGCTTCTCACGCACGTCTGGCGGCCGGCACAGCACAGCTACATGGCCATCCACCGGGGTGCGATGTTGTAACATTATAAAACATCGGTGGCGGCGGCGCGTTGGTAAGGGGAAAAAAAGTCGACGACGGAAGACATCGTGGCGGCCCCTTGTCCCGCCCTTTGTGTTTTTTTATTGGGCATCTCCACGGATTTTCCTTTTCTGTTTATTCCATTTCCCAAACCACTTGGGGTCATGACTAGGTAGGTATGTAAGGATTAGCTTCGCTCGGACATGGTTCGATGGGTTGGTTGGATGGGAAAAGGGGCGGTGTTCAGGATGTTCTCCAAAATCACCACTATATACACCGACTTTCTCCCAGGCCTAACCTATCAGCAAGGTGTCTCACGTACATACTAAATGCAGACGTATGAGTGCTCAAATATGCGTCTATATATTATGTGGAACTTTTTCTACGCTCCTGATGTTTACCTATTTATGTACAGCCAGTCCCCGAAGGGTCATTGCGAGGCAATGGCAAGTCGTCCTCGATCAGGTGGTCTAACGATAAGCCGAGCCGTTCATAACTGCATCTCCCCAAAGTCCCGCATTTATGCCCAGTCTGAAGATAGCGATTGCAAAACCTTGCAGATAGGCAGAACTATGAAGGCCTAGGTACGGAAGAACAAAACTCTTTGGCAGCACTGTCGGTTGGTCGAGAAAGTCGAGTCGATTCCACCCACGCTACCGGTGTGCAACGAGGCGTTCCACTCTCCTCACTCCCCCTCACTCTCTCCTAGCCGCTAGACCAAGGTGCTCACAGCATCGCCGCGCCGCCTACAAGGGCGGCGACGCCGGCGAGTACGGCGTTCTGGGTCGCCCTGGGCCCGGCATTGCGGCTGGTGCTGGAGGCCGTGGACGCGGGGTTGTTGGAGCCGCCCGTACCGGTCGGGGCGGGGGCTGCGGCGCCGGTGGCGCCGGGGAGCCTGTCGGTCATGGTGACGGCGACGAGGAACGAGGTGGCGTCGGTGGCGGTGTCCTCGATCGTGGTGGAGGTGACGGTTGAGGAGCCCGACATGAGCTTCATGGCGCCCGTGCACGACAGGGTCGCGTCGTTGGTCGACGAGCAGGTGATGTCCAGAACCCTGGACGAAGGGGAGAAAGGAACGGTTACAGTTAGCCACTGGTCAAACGATGTTTTGTGCTTGCGTTGCTTCATCGCGTGGGTGAGGGGGATATCAAGGATGCTGCTGGCTTACTCGGAAGCAGATACGACGGATCCGGATGCGGCCAGGGATCCCTCGAGCTGCATGGTCTGCGAGAAGATGATGGTTGAGGGGGCCGAGGTGACGTGGAAGTTCTTGCCAAACGGGCAAAAGGCCGTGGTGGCGGTGTCGGCGCAGGTCATGGAATAGGTCGCCTTGTCCTTGCCCGAGCTGATGACAGAGCCGAGGGCCTTGCTACCGTCTCCCCAGGCGGGCAGATGCATCGTCACGACCTGGGCGGCAGACAGGCCGGCCATGGCGGCGGTGGCGAGGAGCACAGACTGGTGCATGTTGACGAGGGTCGGTGTGGTCTTGATTGAGGGCGGCGTTGGGAGTCGTTTGCGAGAAGCACACGAGTTGTATTCACAGATTGATAGTGAGCAGCAGGAGCCAGCAAATGCCGAAAGAATTAGAGAGTGACTGTGTTGTTTTGTTGCCTCGAAGCGAAAGAGTGTGGTCAAGGAGAGACTATCGTCGTCCTTTGGTCGGGTGCGCCAAGGTTTTTACGTGACGACGAGAGAAGGCAACTTCCAGCAGATTGGAAAGAAAGCTGCCGCCCCAAGACTTCTTATTTGGATTGAGAAACCGGCACTCTGACCGCGTCGGCGAGCCTGCCGACTCCGCCGAAGTAGCCCCTTGGTGGCCTTGAACCGAAAAGGGCTTAGCGGCCAGTACAAGCGGCATGAGTTCTCATCTGCCGTGGACGAAGGATTCAGGCCCGGGCCTACTTATTTCGAGTAAAAGTCGTGATGGACTCTAAAAACCGAGCTGTCGCGATGGACGAAAGAATGCAGCCCGTGATTTGGCTACAGAAAGAGCATCCGCAGCCTGGTTTGTGCCAGCAGTCTGTCGACTCGCCTACGCCAGGGGTGCCTGCCTTACTGCAAGGTGCATACCTACTTGACAAGCAGAGGCGGCTGCCATCGACCATCGACGGGACTTTGAGAGCCGCACCGGGCCTAGACCGGGAATGAGCGACCGGGGATGTAGGTTTGGGACCGGATCGGTGACGTACCCGAAGAGCTTGATTCTATTCCGACATGACAAATTGCAGGAAGTTCTTCAACAGATAACCTGATAATGGAACACCGCTCCCCGGGCACGGTTCAAGCACGAGTCAGCAGAAGAATCCATGATCAGAACATGGAAGCGCTAGAGCTGGATGATTTTATGGAAATGCACGAGCATGTTCATAGGTTATCGACAGCAGGTGAATGCCCTCAATTGCAAAAGGCCGTGAACAGCGTTTGCCTATTGAGGTCCACTCATGTGTGGCTCCACTATTCACCACCTAGGTACAGGGCACGAGGATATTAAACGTTAAAAGTGCGGAGCCCTTCAGGGATCTCCAACTACACTTTTGCGCAGACCCCCCTGGAGGGCTCCGCACTTTTAACGTTTAATATCCTAGTCTCCTGTAGACTCCTGTACGGGTTCCAGGGATCACAAACCTTAGTACGATGGATCCTGGTGGTACATCAGTTTGGCTTGGTTTTCTGAGGAAGAAAATGTATCTTGCATCCACCGCACTAGGGTTTGTGATCCCTGGGACCTGTAAAGTAATTTTCGGTTTGGTGTATCAATTAATTCGTCGCGGGGGTGGTTTTCTAAGGAAAGAAATGTATCTTGCTCCACCGCACCATTGTTTGTGATCCCTTGGACCTGTACGACTCGTGTGGATCTGGAAAAGATCATGCTGGATACGAGGATCGATCCATGCCATTGATTCTGGCATTGGCCTCAATCGCAGCATGTGGCCCCCGATTGACGCTGGCCAGCCGCGCGGCTTTCGCTTCGTTGTCTTGGGCTCTTTCCTCCCATTCTTTGTCGGCCGCTTGGCAGCAGCGCAAAGGGCGACACGCCACAAGACTACCGAGCAAAGACCAGGGCCATTTCATGTTTACAGCAGGAGGCCAAGAGAGATGCAATTGGGGGGAGTGGCGGCTGCCAATCAAGCCTCTCTTACCCCTGAGCAGCGTCTAGCCTGCCAGCGCCACGCCGCCGGGAACTTGGCCGTTTCTGCAGGACCCGATTGGAGGCTGCGTCCAGCCCCTCCCACCCTTCACCCTTGCTCCCTGCCACCGGCGATCGCCCTCCATCTCGGTTTGGTCATTGGCCAAGAGCTGCGTTGGCCAATTTACCCCCTGCTTTCTGCTTGCTGCGGCCCAGCTGCGCCAAAACCAAAAAGGGTCCTCCCAAGCCCATGATTACTGTGCCCGTCCCTGCTGTTTTAGGCCGAGGTGAGTTTACCCGCCCTCGACCGACAGGAAACGAAACACGGCCCCTCCCCCGCTCCTAGCATGATCGATGGACAGGAGAGACGCTGGACCAGGGGGTGGGAGTCGACGGCCCAGGCCTGGGCACAGACGCCGTCTGCCCTGCTGTGCCTGGCGACCTTTCCTCCCTGGTCCCTAGGCGAATGGGCCCTGTCCCTTTGACCTGCGCCCCCAGGCGTCATTGGGGTATCGCCCTCAATGCCCTGAGCTTTTTTAAAAGGGCCGCACGAGCTGCTGGGGCCATGCTCTCAGCCCTCCATCTCCATCCTCAAGCATTCACAGTCAGCCTGAGTGTTGGTAGCATTCGCTTCTTTGCCCTTGTTTCTTTTTCCTTTTCTGGCTGCGCCTTTCGTTCGCTCCGTTGTGCTGTACTTGTTGGAGCTTTCGTCCTTCGACATTCTACTTGGAGACGGCTCATTCGTTCACCATCGTCCAGACGTTCACGCACCTTCCGCCTGTCAGGCCCGCAGCTCGACCACGAGCACCACAGCTTCACTTTTCCGTTCAGGGGTAGCACTATTGCTCGTTCGAAGCTTCTTTTGCTCGCTCGGACTGGGTCTGCAACACAGCTCCCTCTCCCCTCGCCAGCTTGCTTGCCGAGACACAGCGTCTACTATCAGATCTCTTTTCTTTTCTCCCACTCCGCTCTCGGTCATTGAGCAAGTTCTACACCTTGTGCTATCATTGAGGCACTGGTTCTTTTCTGTCTCTTTCACTCGAGACGCAATGGTCCTCTTCATGAAGGCGGTCAACTTGGGCCTGGCCGCCGCGGCCGTCCCCAAGGACCTCAATATCACGGATCACGCCTCGGTCCAAGGCGTCTCCAAGACTATCGCCGCTGATGCCATGTCCTTCTACAAAGGCTCCGCGGCTGAATACGTCGATCTCGCCCCTCCCTACTGGTGGTGGCAGATGGGCGCTCTTACTGGAGCCATGCTGGACTACAGCCACTACACCCGCGATAAGAGTTGTATGAGCACCAACACTCTTTCCATTATCCACCGTCCTTGAAATTCTGGCTGACCCCACCACTCACTAGATGACGACGTGCTTGCCACTGCTCTTGTGGCCCAGGTCGGCCCCAACTTCAACTTCATGAGCCCCAAGCACCAGGGCCAACTCGGCAACGACGACCTTGGGTTCTGGGGCTTCGCCGTCTTGTCGGCCGCGGAACGCAACTTCCCTCAGCCTGAGTCCAACATTCCGTCCTGGCTCAAGATGGGTGAAAACATCTTCAACTCGCTGGCCAGCCGCTGGGACACGACGAGCTGCGGCGGTGGGCTGCCGTGGCAGATTTACGAGTCCAACCCCAACGGACTCAACTACAAGAACTCGGTCAGCAACGCCGGGTTCTTCCAGCTGGCGGCCCGGCTCGCCCGGGCCACGGGCAACCAGACGTACGCCGACTGGGCCACCAAGATCTACGACTGGTCGACCACGGTCGGCTTCATCGACTCCAAGTTCCACGTGGTGGACGGGGCCGACCGGCGCGACGACTGCAAGAAGCTCAACCCCGTGTCCTTCACGTACAGCTCGGGCATCTACATGTACGGCGCGGCCGTCATGGCCAACCACACCAACGGCAATAAGACGTGGACCGACCGCACACTGGGCTTCGTCGAGAGCCAGAAGCAGTACTTTGGGCCCTTCAACAACGCCACCAACGTGCTGTATGAGCCCGCCTGCGAGCTCGTGGGCTCGTGCAACGTCGACATGAAGTCGCACAAGGGCCAGCTGTCGCGCTTCATGTGGGCCTCGACCCTCCTCGTGCCCGCCGCGGCCAAGCCCGTGGCGGACCTGCTCAACCCGTCGGCCGAGGCGGCCGCGCGCTCGTGCACGGGCGGCAACAAGGGCACCCAGTGCGGCTTCCGATGGTACGTCGGCGGCTTCGACGGCGACACGGGCCTCGGCCCCGAGATGTGCGCCCTCGAGACCATCCAGGGCGCCCTCGCCGCCACGGCCGAGCCCCCGCTCAGGGGCGACGCCATCAAGGACGTGCGCAAGCCAAGGGCCGGCACCGCCCCGCCGGCGACCCGCCGCCGCATGGCCCGCGCCTTCCAGGCCTGAGCTAGCTGCCTGCGGGTGGTTGTCCATGTCCCGGCATCGCTCTGCCTTGACGATGAAAAAAAGAAACAAGCAGGACCGGTTCCACATTACGCTCCGCTTGTCCCTCTGTACTATTTTCTTGCTGCCTTGAATGGCTTTTTACGATTTTTTCTTTAATTATTTATTCTTTTATTGGATTTACACACATCATATTCCAACCCGCTCGGCGTTCCCGGGGGCCATACATTTTTGCCAAAAGCAAAAGAAAATCAGGAGGACATCCATCCATCTCCATCCCTTTCTAAAACTACTACTATAGGGGGTCACGTTCTAGATCTTAGTCGCTCTATGTCGTCGAATATAAATAGAAACAAGGCTTCTATAACAACCATATCTTACACGAGTCGCTATAGCGAAAGGAGGCGCACGTGCATTCCCCAAACTTTGCTTGCGACGTTCACTGCCTCGTGTGATTGAGAGGGAAGGGGATGTGGCATACTAAAAATAAAAACAATCTATTTCCTACAACATGCCATGTTTGCCATGCCTGGAAAAAAGTGGCACCATGGTCCTTTAATCATGTCCCCGGAAAGTAAACACCCCACAAGAGTCAACGCCCAGATGGATGCATTGCAAGGAGTTGCCAGCATCGTGTCTTCTGCTATGTCGGGTTGGCATGCTCGTCTCGTCCCCTCGCGAAATTGAACCTAAACGCCAACAACAACAACAACAACAGCATACACCCGATGAGCCCGCGAGCGAGTGGCCTTGGAGCTTCTTCAAATCGGCCCCAGTCACTCCGCCTTCTGAGACGTCGTCGCGGGGTTATGCTCGCCCGAAATCGAGGTCGAGCGAGTGAGGTTTGAATGCTGGAATGGCTCATGTGTGACGGCGGCCGTCGGGCTGGTAGCCCCCATCTCGGTGAGCTGTCGCTCTGTGGTTGTCGTCCATGACTCGTGTCAGCAGGAATACATGCACTACACACATGGCCAAGTCAAAATTCACATACCCAGGTCACGGATCCGGTGGCGGAGCATCTGGTTCTCGCGGGTGAGCGTCTGAGTCTCGGCCTGGTAGAAGGCGCTCTCGTCGCGGCCGGCGAGGCCTAGGGGCTCGGGAGCGGCCGCGCTCTCGCCGCTGATGGAGGTGGAGCGCAGCCTGGGCGACGCGGTGCGGCTCGGCGTTCTAGACCGCCGCTGCTGGAGGTCGGCGCGGGCCAGGTCGAACGAGCTGCGCAGCTGCATGGGCGACCGCGGCAGCGAGCTGGAGGGCGTCAAGACGGGGAACGCCGACGACGGGCCCGAGCTGGTTGCGGCAACGGGGCTCGCCGAAGGCTCATCGCCCGCGGCAGGCGACTGGCCGCCGCTCACCTGGGCCTGGAGCTGCTGGAGCTGGAGCTGCTGCTGCGAGATGATCTGGAGCAGTCGGTTCTGCAACCACCCGAAGTACCGTCAGCTGGTTTCAACTTCTTTGGCCTAAACCCATGCCATGCCTCGCTAACGGCTCCTTGCGTCACTTACCACATGTCCTTCCGTCTCGGCCTCAAACTCCTGGTGGATCTCGCCTAGGCTCGGAGCCCGACCATGCTGGCGCAGAGGATCGCGGCCCAGCATCATGGGTGACCGTGGCGAGCCCGAACGGGGCTGGGGGCTTGCGGCGTAGTGCCCAGCGCCGTTATGCGAATCCGTGATCATTTCGCCGGGGCCAGGGACGTTGGGGTCATTCAGCTGCAGATTCATGAGCACCGACGATCGCCTTCGGCTGTGGTGAGGCGCGGCCATGCTGCGCGGCATGGAACCGCCCGGAGATGCTGCGCTTTGGGAGCTGCCGCCTGTGTTTGCTCGGCATCGTTAGCGCACTTGTGGCTCCATTAGCAACACGTGGACGACTCTAGGCACCAATCGTGATACACTGGCACCCAGTCCAGGCCAGGCAAAGGACAACAAGATACCAGCCAGGCATACCTCTAGAGGACTCATGCTGAAGTCCCGCATTCACAGTTGCAGTAGCCTGCAGCGAGCCGGTCGGTCGGGACGACGGCGATGGTGTGTTGCGCTGCGGCGGAAGCGCGTCCTCGGAGCCGTTCGACGTCGACATGGCTCGCAGCCGTGCTTTTGGACGGGTCTGGGGGTCTGTTGGAGCGGGTGCGGACCCTCAGCCCAGCGGCTTGCTCGTTTGTTGAGAACCAGGTATTGTCCAGGCGGCCCGATATGGCGTCTGAATGGGTAGGTGGCAGGTATAGGTACCTGGGTAATTAGGTACCTATATAGGTAGGTCGGGTAGAAACCGCGGTGAAACGGCGAGTGAATGGCCTTGGTGCAATATGGAGATATGGTAGGTGACGAGGATGCGAGGTGTGCACGTCAGTTGGAGCCAAGGCCTGCTTTGTGTGTGACGATGGTGCCTTCTTCTACTGATTTGATGGTCGCCCGCCAAGGCCAGATGTCTGGGCCGATTCAAATCCCACAGTGTGTCGCGGGTCTGGAAGGCGTGAAGCAGCTGATGGTACTTGGGCTCGTGGCACAGCTTGCGCTCAGTGAGGTGCCGCAAGCGAAGGGGGCTGGAAGACCGGATGCGCTGAGAGCCAGGTGGCGGCGAACTGCGTGTTGGGAGCGTCTGGTGAGCTAGGCAGGCTGGAGCAGCGACGGGGCCACACACACACACACACACACGGTGAGTCAAGCAGGTCAAGAACAACAGAGCGCCGCGGACGGGCTTCAATGGGGGCGGCGTCCGGCGTATGCGTTCACGTGCGGGCAGGTCGACTCATCAGTGCCATCGAGATGGCGATCCCAAGAGCCGCGTACAGGTTTGTGAATTTCGGACGGGAGGCAGGCACTGTAAATGGAACGATAGAATCCCAGGCACAGTACGACGCACGTAGAAAAAAAAGGTGGGAGCATTGAGGCACGCCAAGATGGGCAGAGGGACGCACGAATGCGTCTGGGCTGCTGGATCATGCTGGAATCTAGATGTCGGATTTCACGGGCATGGGCTTCGCTTGTCGTTTGCAGCGACGGCAAAGGTCGGTGTGGTGGCATGATCAGGACAGTGAATAGCAGCACAAAACACCCAACCGTCCCGGCCCGCCGCGCGAGAGTGGCGCGACCCAACGACCAGCTGACGCCCAGTCTTTTTCTCGGTTGGTTGTCACTTTTGGTTTTGCCTGCCCGTAGGTTTGGATGGAATGGACCTCCGGATGCGGCAAAAGCTCATCAAAGCATTTGCCTGGAGGCAGGGCAGCATCATTGTGCTTGAAGGTTCGGGTCTGGTGACAAAACCAGCGGGCAGAGCGGGGAAATTGGGGGAGCTTGGGGGAAGCTGTGCCGCCCCCCACTTGTCCCCAACAACGGGGCAGATGACTTCATTCATGGCCCGTGCCTAACCGACTGCCCCCAGGATCTGAATGGTAGGAAACAAGCACAAGAGACAACCGGCGTGTCATCCTAGCCGACCACCCAAAAACACACACCAGATCCAAGAGCGTGGCTACCATCTACCATGCCCGGTTCCTGTCTTGTCTTGTTGACTCAGCCTCAGTCATGTCGAGCACCGCACAGTCAATACCTGCTGCCCCGGCAACTCCGGCTTCTCCCTCCGAGGTCGCCGCGGCCCGTCGGCCGGCCTAGAAGCATCCAGTGCTGCCTGGTCGTACGGGGCTCGACGATACGAGCTCTTGGAAAGAGCGTGATCACCACTCGACGGGAAGCATCTAGTATTGACCCGCCTTGGCGCCACATCTCTTGCGTGGACGGGCTACACAGGACGAAAATGCCTCTGCAGCACGGCCGAGCTGATGTAGGGGGCGGCCTGGGAGGGGGCGTTCTGGCCTCCCAATGACGGAGACTTGCATGGCAGCAACAGCAACAACAAACAGGGATAGACAACGAAAATAACTCCCCGACCATCGTTGCACCAGTGTTGCTTGCATATATATTTCCGAGGCGCTTAACCCTAGGTCGACATCAACCCTCGGTCGAAGTCCGTAGATACAGCGCTACGCACGCACCTAGGCAGAGAGGGGAAAAAAAAAAGCGCGGCATCGCAAGAGCCGCTTGCAACGGTGTTACATCTACCGCCCGCCCGGCCAAACCGTGGCGCGGATCGATGGTCGAGACAACACGCACGCCCCCCGCTACCACGCAGCACAGGTGTCGCGCCGTTTCGTCACCGCTTGGCTCGGACTGGTTGTGTGTTTTTGTTTCGTTTTTCTTTTTCTTTTTCTTTTTCCCCACCTTCCCTCGCGTACAGGCCGTAGTGGAGAGACATACCAACCAGTAGTAGCTCGGCCGCTGGTGGGAATACAAGAGCCGCCGGCAGTGCATACCTACTAGCTACTGCAGGAACGGACAAAGCCCGTAGGAATGGAGCGTCACCACGCCACTCGGAGGCTGCATCTGTGGGCTAGAGCGCGCGCGAAGGGGTGCAACAGCGGTTGGTCCCTCGCGCCGCCGATGGATCGCCAAGCCCCGGGCCAGAGGGCGTGGTAGACAAATGTCTGGGAACCACCCCTCATGGGAGCTGAGGCATGGTCATTTCTTATTCCTCGTTCTTTTCTAATGCCCATTTCGTCTATCTGTAACCTCGGCAACAGGAATGCAGTGATATGGTACCCGATACCCGAGAAATAGCCACACGTCCCCAACCTTGAGATGCAATCTGATATTATCAGTACCTGCGGGGAAGTATATGCATCTCGGCTACTCTCTGTTTGCTACTAAGTTACTAAGTATCAACCTTACGTGGCACCGATGTCGAGCTTTGCTGATCTGGTCGGTTTGCAATCTGTGCTTTGTTTAGCTTTTTTTTTCTCTTATTCTTTATTTCTTATTTTCTTCCATATCGGTGAGGCTAGCTAGACTACATCTTGTCGGCCCCCCTCCGGCCTCTGGGAGGCTGCCTCGACAAAATGTGGCAGGAGGAGTGCAAAGGGCTACGTTGGCGTCGACACACCGAAGACGCCTGCTACACCGGCCAACAGTATGCGCCAAGGAAACTCAGGGGGCCGGGGAGGGCTGGGGGCGGGCTGGGACAACGATCGCCACGAGCACGATTAGACTCGTCGGTGTAGATGCCCAGCCATGCCAGCCTCTTCAGTAGATAGGTACCTTGCTTAGGCGTGGGCAGCGTGGAGTTTTGGGGCTTTTGGTACACCTGTTTCTTTTCTTTTTTTCTTCTTTCTTTTTTCCCCCTTCCTGCTTTGGGCCCGTGGTTGAATGTGCGAGGTTGAGGGGTAGGGCATCCGAACACGACTTCCAAGAGGGCAGGAAGCGCTGATCAAGCATAACAAGGGCCTCAGGGTTCAAATGGTTCAAAGTTCCGGCCGCCCTTTTGGCGGATGATCTGCGAGGCGGCACCGCCCGGAAGCAGCGTGCATGCAGGGGCTCGGGAGAAATGTAAGCCACTGTATGAGATGTTTCAGACCAGATAACTTTGCGGATTTGCGGCGACTTGCGTTACCTGTCTGCGTACGGCAGACGTTGGTCGACGGATGCCCGCAGAGTGTCGGGTTTGAGGGTCTCTCCATTCCATTGTGTCGAGGTGCATGGGGACTACTGTAAAAGATGGTGCGCAGACGTCGGCCGATGATTCCAGCGCTATTGGCCAGGCCTCGACGGGATGGAGCGAGAGGCACATGCCAGCGTGGACCAAGGCCCGAGCCTCATTTGCATCTGGCCATATGGGCACCACAAGTTCGCTAGGCGGGGTTTCGTTTAAAAAAAATTATTGAAAAAAATGCTGCTACATGCTGCAGGCTCTAGGATGGAGGGGTGGCATTCGCTTGGCGGGCTTGACCCCAGAGGGCGAGCGAGACACCTGAGCGCTGGACCCAAAACCTGGGATGTGTCTATCGTTTCCGATTATGTGCCGGCTTTATTCCCCGGCAAGTGGCCTTTTCGGTTTGTCCGGCTAGTGTCGACTGCCAGGCCGTGCTGCATTGCCTAATCCGGCCAAGGATCGGGCACTGCCCTCAGCTTTTGGAAAGTAAAGGGACGGGGAAAGAAAAGAAGGGCCAGGGTATCCTGTATCCTGCATGCCCCCCTGCACCAATTCGACGGCTGAACACATGGGCTTTGGACGGCGACCGCCGAATTACCGGAAAGGGCACGCAAAGCGGTGGCCATTCCTCAGATTTCCTTTGATTGCCCAACCAGCCATTCCTGCACGCCGTAGCAACCGCTCTGGCTCAGGGATCATGCACGCGAGGCTGACTCCTCAATTCCATCCATCCCGTCGCTGGTGGCGGATGACTGTGTACTGATGAGTTGGTGGCGCTGTCTGTGGTTCGCAGGGCCCCATCTGCTACGCTGCTGCAGTGACATGCTGCTGCCAAAAGAAGAACCGAAATCGGGTCGAGTCACGGCGGAGCAGGAGAAAACAAAAAGCAAAACAACCACCCGACGCGCTGGAGCATTGGAATGGGGAACCCTCTGCTGGTAATCCCCCAGGACAAAAAAAGGGGCGGGATTTTCTTCCGAGGGCAAGCGCTAGCGGGTGCTTTCTGTTGATCGCTCTCTATTAAAAGCACCAAAGAAATCTCCCCCAAGCCACTGGACTTATCGATGAGTGCCCTAGCGCCTATCGCCAACATGCTAAAGTGCTACTGTGTAGCTGCCAGCTTCTTTCTCGACCCTGTGCAGGCAAGGGCGAGGGCGATGACGGACTGTTTTCAGCGACCACCCTGTTGTGACTGGGGTGGATGCCATGCCAAGCCTCGGCAGGGGGCTCAGGGGAGGTTCCCTGAAGCGATCAAGGCGTGTCACTGTGCTGCCCAGGGGTTGTGATGATGGATCAAGTGATGAACGGCAGGGGTCGCGGTCCGGCAGCCGAGTGAACTTTTTTCCCGACTTTTCTCGACAGCGCGCACGCAGGCGTGCAAAGACTGGGTTGGAACCCTCTTGCTCACCTGGAACGTGTTTTGATGTGCACCAGTTCGATCCACCTCGGCGAGGCACTGGCGTCTACGGAAACTGCATGGAACCCCAAAACTCAAAAGATGAGCCCGAACGACTGGGAAAAGATTAAAAGAAAAATGAAATAAACACAAGCAAAGACGCCATGTTTACCCAGCACTTACGCAGCAATTCTTCAATGCACAAGGCACAGACTCTGCAGGCACCCCTGCGCCCCCCAGATGATGGCCCCATCATGCTCCCATCTGGATTGGCCCAAGGTTTTTGGGCGGCACGCTTTCGTGCTGTCTCGGTTACCTCGCGGGCTGGTCGGCAGGGCTAGATGGCACTGGATTGGCCCAAGATGGGAAACTGATGTTCCGAGGCCCACCTGATGCTTGCGTTTGTTTGGCCCAGAATCCCAGTCGACTGGGCAGTCGACTGGACATGCACGCAGCTTGGTCGCATTATTATTATGGTGATCAAATGTGGACGGCAGAAAAGAGGACATAGCGGCGCCGAGTCGACCTCAAGGTCCTACCGTTGGGCGCCTCGGCCAGCCCACGTCGCGCTACAGGAGCCGTCAGCTGATGGTCGCGGAATAGAGAGAACAAGAAAGAAAAAAGTAAATAAGCGAGTAAATAAACGAGACAAATAAAAACAATCGAGGGGCAAAAGGAAAGAAGCACGAGGGGGAAGCAGGCACGGCCGAGGCACACACCCAATCTATATCACCAGCCGCCTTGCTCTCCCCCCTCGCGCGCGCCTCCGGCGACTGTTTCGTGTTTTTTTTTTTTTTTTGCGTTTCTCGGCCTTATTTCTCGGCCCCTTCGGCTTCCTAACTGATCTGCTCAGAGTCAAATGCCTGGTTTATTTTGCAACGCCATCTCCCTGTGCTAGGTGTAGCCAGTGCTGAATCCGGAGCATTCCTGGCACCACTCCCACTCCCACCTGCCGACGGCCCCCTTCGTGGCTGCGCTCTCATCCTCGGCCTCCAACAAACTCGATCATACGCTATCGCCCGTACCGTAGAGTGGGTTCTGTCTGCGACCTGGAATGTAAAGAGGTGGTATGGTGTGGTGTGGTGTGTGTGTTTCTCTTACTCGCGCCTCCTCGCCCTGGCGCAGCGCCTCTGCCGCTCCCGTTTTTCCTTGGTCTCATTGGCGGCACAACAGGACGGCACAACATTTGAGGCACAAACGGACACAGCACACAGCACACGCCGCCCTGATCGCCCTGATCGCCCCCAACCGTCTGGCTGGCGTTTACACGCCCGAGGGTGAGGGCTTCGGCACTGCATCTTGTGACCGAGCACACACCAGCCCGTGCCGCACTGGTGCACCAATCACGGAAGGGACCGCCACGGCAAGTCCTGTCTCTCTCCTCGGCACCGTCTAGCTCGGTCCCGGCCAGTTTGGCTTGGTACCGTGTTGCGCGCGCAACCACAGCACCAGCAGATCATCACCATCCTTGCGCGCTTCCCCCAGCCAACTCCCCAGCTCCCCCAGCGCTTCGCACCCACTCCCACCCGGCAGTCCGCGCCCTGTTCACAGTAGGTAGACCCTGCGAACAGAAGATCGCACCTGAATCGGCCGACGGATGGGGACATTGCTGCCCCCAAGCTACGTTTTTGGACTTATACTTTTTTTGACACCCCCCACTGGCCCCAAATTCCTGGTCCAAACCCACCCCTGCACGGCTCCCTTCCCTGCTGGACGTCTTGTGCTCCTGGTGTGACGGCGCTGCGCCGGGGCCAAGCAGGTCATCCTCGCCCGCCCGCGGGCATCTTAAAACATGGCTGAACCCAGTTGTGCCGCTCCCGCCCTTGTCCCTCTTCAAAACGGTTCCCTCCATTCCCGGAGACAACGCCCGCCCGATCTCGACCTTGCCCGTGAACACGACAACCGAGTCCCGCTGAGGGCAGAGTCGGCCAGAATGCGCCGTCGCGAATCGAGGCTCGGCCTCATCAACATCTTTGGGAGGCAGAAGAGCTCCGTCGACTTGGCGAGCTCCACTGCCGCCGCCAGCTCCACCGCATCGCTGGCAACAACAGCAACCTCCCCACCGCTTACTACCTCGTCCTCTTCCTCGTCGCGGGATCTGTCGCTGCCCAGGTCCGCCGGCATCCGCGCCTCCCTGGCCGAGATGAGCCACTGGTCCCGAGCCGACTCCTCTAACCACCACCGCCAACACCACCAGGAGAAGCAGCAACAGAGGCAGCAACGACAACAAACCCCGCCTTCGGATCCATCGGGCTCGCCCGGCTCGACGACGCCCGCTCCCACCCCCAGGTCGGTCAAGGCCCCCGCCGGTGCCAAGACCAAGGGGTCCAGCATACCGGCCCCAAAGCCCGGTCGCGGCTCCTTGGCCACCTGGGACCCCCCGCCGCTCTTCCAGGCTTACCCTCAGGCCATCCGACAAATTGAACTGCCCGCATGTACCGTCTCTGCTGAGACTATCCTCCGTCTGAATGGCGGCCGTGCTAGCCAAGCCCCGGCGGCGATGCCCGATGCCGAGGCCTTGTCGGACCTGGCGAGTGACAAAGCAAAGCGGAAGCACCGGCGCAACACGTCCAGCATGGCATCGTTTAGGTCCGACTGGACCACCAAGATCTACGTCTTGGTGACCTCGGGCTATCTGCTGCAGTATGCCGGCGAAGGCTCATTCGACCGACTCCCTGAAAAGATCCTGCATCTTAGCAAGGACTCTGCCGCTTTCGCCAGCGATCTCATCCCGGGACGGCACTGGGTTGTGCAGGTGTCGGCAGCCATGGAGGCAGACGGGACCTCGACTGCCGACTCCAGGTCTCTACTCTCACGTCTGCCCTTCCGTGGGGCCGAGAAGAGAAATGCCTCGGCCTTTCTGATGGTTTTTGAGAGCGCGGACGATATGGACCAATGGATTGCAACGCTCCGCCGCGAGATCGAGCACCTGGGCGGCAAGAAGAAGCTGTCAGAGACTGGCAAGCCCAAGGCTGACGATAATGTGCTCCAGCTGCGGGGGCAGCCCAGCCAGCGAACTCTGGTCGTCCGGGACCCGGAGCGCTTCTCCCGCGTAATCGCCCCTGAGCAACTCACATGGGTTCATGAGGCTCCAGCCATGATATCAACCACACCTGCCACTCCCGCAACCCCGTCAACTCTCGACGTACTGCTCGGCTCGCCCGAGATGAACGGCGCACACGACCGGTCGTTCGACGACCTGTCGACCACCAATAGCTTTGCCTCACAGGACGGCCAACAACTCGACTTCCTGAGAGATGAATCCCATCGCCTTTCCTATGTCTCATCGGGTCAACGGACCGTGATGACATCCGAGGGCTCGTCGTCGCCCTCCTGCTCCCCAACACGTGATAGCTTCTCGAGCCATTTGGACGACCGTCCGTGCAACCCTCACTCGGAGAAGCTCGTACCCGATGCGCAGCTGAGGCCAAATGTGAAGGTTATTCTGGACCGCAGGATGTCGATGCGCTCTCCGGGCCCCTTGAGCAGTATCAGGCCCGTCTCCAGCGCCCCTCGCACTGTGTCCGACTGCCAGCCCGATGCAACCCACTTGAACGATTCTTGGCCGCTCACTACACCCAACTTTAGTGTTCCACATTCCGTCAGCAAACGCTTCTCGATAAGGAGGAGCCCAGGTCCTTCGGACGAGGCTCCGCCCCCTCCGCCCAAATCGACACTGGCCCCGCCCCCTAGACCTTTCCCCAGGAGACCTCCCCCGTCCCTTGGCGCGTTCTCGAGGCCGCTCTCGGTCGTGGCCGATCAGCCGTCGCCCATGTCGCCCCGGTTCCATTACCAAGGACTCGAGAGCCGGCTCGACGAGGCCGGGCGGGTTCACAATTTAAAATCTCCCCTCTCCCCTGGCGTGGCCGAAGGGCGAAGACAGCAAGCCGCCGAAACACGAATCGCGCCAGCGGTCCCCGCGAAGACAAGCCTGAGTAGTCGACGCGCCAGCATGCAGCCGTTGGCCTATGCCGACTCCCCACGAAGAAGCATAAGCACCCTCGGCCTACGTAAAAGGGCGTCCGATTTTGCCCTCCGACAACGCGCAGTTGCCGCCCCAGAGCCACGAAAGTGGCAGGCACTGCAACATGTCGCCCTCGCCACCAAGACGCCAGATCAGCCGGCGAACAGGCTAGCAGACGGGCTGGCGGACAGGCCGAGGCTGCGTGCATCGCGTGTTGTATCAGGCACGGACATGTGGGCGCAGCCACGGACCTCGCAGCGCCTGGGCGTGTCGAGGCCTGTGAGCGTTGTGCGGCAGCACGAGCCCAATACCCATCCTCGTTTCTCTCAAGATGTCGATGTGGACTGGAGAACCGCCCCTCATCCTCCGCCCAAGGACTCGCCGCCACTCAAGCCCACGTCGTCCCCGAGGGAACCACGGTCGGAACAGGCCGTGGTGGCGGTGCCCCGGACGTCGACGTCGACGCAATACTTGCGGACCGCATCGGACACCAAGGCGCTGCTGAACAGGCACAGTGTGCCGCAGCTGGCAGACGTTCCCCCGCCGCTGCCTCCGCCGACGTGCGCGCTGCCGCCTATCCCTCTCGCGCACCGCGGCCCGGCTGTCAGGCAAACGCGAGCGCATACCATAAAGACCTGAGCTGCTTGGGCACACCATTATCTCCAGCTTTATAGACTGCCATCTTTTGATGGCAATGACCTCCGCCCTGTACAACCTTTGTACTATTCCCACTCCCTCTGTACTTGTTTCTTGTCACCTTTGTGGCTCGATGTTCATCTTGGTTTTGTTTGCACTTATACCCACATGCGTGCCGTGAACATGCCGGCGCGTCTTCATTCGATTTCATCCAACTTTTTCTCTTTTTTATGCTTCGGCTTTTCTTGTTTCCGCACGAACACTCGGAACCGTGCTAGGAGCACTACCTGGCGGGTGGTATACCTTTTCCCCATAATGCGTTTGTATTCTTCATTCTTCCCACGTTGGACATACTTTCTCTCCTTTGTTATTGATTTTCACTCGGCAGCGGGCGTTGAGAAGACTACGTTAGAAACATGCTGCAGAGCTACAAGCTTCTGACTGATGGGAGGGCGACAAAACCAGGCGACGATGACGGGTTTGGCGATAGATTTTTGGAAAGCGGGTGGACTAGGGATCTTGGATGATTTTGATGCGCCACGATGCCGTACATGGCTTCTTCCTCTTTTGATTTTTCTGGCTGCTTCTTTCCGGCTTGAGTTAGGAAAGAGCCCTTTGTACACTAGCTGTCATTTGCTATGGGAAATAACTATCTATCTCGTTACCGCATCTCAGCTGCTGTGCTAGCCCTTTTGCCTGACAATACGTGCCACTATCTGTCTAACGCCTGGTCTTCGGATCATAGGTAGCATTTCTACACGCAGCAAATTGCATTTTGGCTTGTTTGCTGCGTGTTCAATGTCGTGAGCGTGTTAGTCAGGGAGGTTTCGCCACAATTCTAGATGACTCGACGCCACACCTTGTTTTGCAACAAAATGCCGAAATTCGTGGTGGGACCCCAAAAACCCACCCCGCTCACTCGATTTTGGAGGAGCAAGTAAGCGAAATATTCCATCGCGCCGACGACGACTAGGCGCCCAACCGAACCAAACATACAAAGACGAGGCGGCTTTGCTTTTACCTGGCCCTGACGATCGGCCCGCGACACTCGCCGCACAAATTCCCCCCGGTGACGGCAGCAAAACCAGACTCACAAACATGGCGTCAGCCGTGGCAAAGCCATCAAAGTAGGTGACCCCTCCGTCCGTCCGGCCGTCCGCTCGGCCGCGACCAGAGCTTCATGGAAATGCGATGGAGCCAAGCGAAAAATGCGAAGGAAATGGAGAGATGCAGCGTTCGGTTGGCGGGAGGCAGGGAGGGAGGGAAAGCGGGCGGGCAGTAAACTGACAGCTTTCCCACCCAACCCACCAGGCCTCTGGCTTGGGCCGACGACGACGACGTGGACGAGGGCGCGCCGGCAACGGACCGGCTGCCGGACCCGCAAACCATCGTCAACAAGGACGGCACCAAGACCATCATCAGCTGGCGCTACAACGACGTGAACCAAAAGGTCAAGACGACCAGGCGGGTGCGCCTGACGACGCACCGCGAGGTCGTCAGCCCGCGCGTGGCCGACCGCAAGACGTGGGGCAAGTTCGGCCTCTCGGCCAAGGACACCGTGGGCCCCGCGGCCGACACGACATCGGTGGGCGAGAACATCATCTTCCGGCCCTCGGCCAACTGGCGCAAGGAGGCCAAGGACGAGTCCAAGGACCCGAACGCAAACGCCATGAAGGACAAGCTCAAGGACAAGAAGGTCAAGTGCCGCATCTGCAACGGCGAGCACTTTACGGCCCGCTGCCCTTACAAGGACACCATGGCCCCCGTCGGCGAGGCCGGCGCCGGTGGGCCGGGAGGCCCGGGTGGGGACATGGGGCTCGATGACGACATGGGAGGCGGCGGCGGCGGCGGTGGCGCGGGCGGCGCGGGGGCCGGTAAGAAGGGCTCCTACGTGCCGCCCGCCCTGCGCAATGGCGGCAAGGAGGGCGAGAAGATGGGCGGCGCCGGCGGCAAGTACGGCGAGAGGGACGACCTCGCGACCCTTCGTGTTACCAACGTGAGTTACCCTGTAATGGAGAGAGAGAGAGAAAGCGGGGATAAAAAAAAATACGAGAGCTGCTCGCTGACACAAAAAAAA